ACTTGGATAGTCTTTAGTTGGAGTAATTACCTGGTATCTGACCATGAAAGTAGTAAAAATACTACTAACTAAATAAGCAGATAGGGCAGTGGCATATGGACTATCTATGTAACTCTGTGCAAGCCGTTACATGATATCATTTAAAGTCCTCTGCTCTTTAATAGCTAGCTGCTGCTGATGGATTTATCTCTAGTAACTTCCCCATCATCCATTCAAGAGTTTCATTTATCATTTGTTCATGGAGAACATAGTGCCCATATACCTGCAAATTTTTGCGGGAAATTTTATTCAATTCAAAAAACATTTCCAAGATTCATTTTATAACTATCTTATATAGCAAGGGCATGAGACTAATACCTCAAGAAAAACAGATTAGAAGGCGCCTCCCAATCTGCTTTGACTTAATTCCTGTACTGTAGAATTTCCACTTGAATGCAGTGCTACAACTACAAATATATATATTATAAGTTGGAAAGATGAATAAATCCAAGATCAACAATTTGTTTCATGCTTGATATCATTGCAATACTTACACCGTTGCATTACAGACTGACTAGCGTGTTGGGAAACATGAATAGGGAAAAATGTAAGCAATTAGAATCTAGAAGGATTGATTGACAGCGTCCACCCCTAATCTTAGATCATCATGTCCCTAGGTTTTCTTAACCCACAAAGCTAATCAGTTAAACATTTAAATAAACCTAAGGAGATATTCTGCAATATGCCTTCATACAATGATGAGTGACAACCCATAGCATCCAAAAACAAATATATATAGTAAGCAAAGAATGTGACCAAAGAGTGAAGATTGAATGTTGGAGCAAACTGCATCTCTATTGCATATGATCGTAATGAAATGGTGTAATGTATAAACAGAAATATTCACGTAAGCAGTTTTCTACTTTTAATTAAAAAAGAAAGGACATGCATAAATTCGCACATATAGCATGACATTAACAAAATCAGACAAAAAAACTACCTTTATTTGCAACTGTAGAAACTTGACATGATCAATAAATCATCCAGTGCGGTTGCTTGACCATGCTACCTAAAACAAATGTGACAAATCAATGGATGAAAGAATTTTCCACAAAAAAAAGGGACCAAAGCTCCTTATGTGCAATGTTGCCGCTGTAACTCTTCCATGGTTCCTTCGGTAGATTTTTGTGCATTTTTTATGCAACTTAAACGCAAAGACAGCTAATTTATGAGACAACTATGAGTAAAATGCAATGGAAGATGAGCGAGAAAGTCTTTCCCAGAATACAAGGAAAATGAGATTATATACTGATTTAGCCTCCTAATGGAAAAAAAAGTAGATGTGCACCTAGGTTTTTCACTTGTTCATATAGATATAGAAATAAATTACCTCTTAAGAATTTGGAAGCTGTTCCTGCAATGATTGATAATTTCAGCAATTCGTTAACTGCACTGCTGTTTATATAGAAGAGAAATAATAATAATAATAATAATAATAATAATAAATGTATGTAAATGTTTGAAAATCCAAACTAAAACAATGAGACAGCGTCCAGATTCCAAACTCATGTATATCCAAAGATGCAAGGGTAATAACCATCAATGTGTGCGTGCTCAGATTCACAGTAGTACTAGTTTGTTTAAAGGCTAGGATCGATGATAGCTTTCACGATCACTTGCAGCAGCTCTTGATTTGGGTGCACTGCAATGTGGTTACGACAGGGAACTGGGTGCAGAAATGGTTTCTTCATCTGGTTGAAGTTGAAAAACATTACAATCATCTTCGTTTGGTTCTCGCATTCAGAAAGCATGATTTCGCTGATAGACATGATGTTGCATTATCAGTAAATCCTGCTAATTCTAAGTTTGAGCAGGTTCTTGCAGCAAGAGTCTCAGATGGATGCAACATAATTATGGAACTCATACTCTGAGTTTGGAAATTTGCACACAGATAATCTATAATGTGGCCTCAAAAGTCTTTCCTGTCAGACATAATCAGTTTTTTGAAATTAATAGCGAAAGTGTTTTATCAAATATAATCCCTACAAGAAAGAAGATGAGAACGATCATTTTTATGAGGCAGTATTCTTATAGGCTTGCTGAAGCTTCATGATTGCTGATATTGGTAGTGCAAGCAGATAGCTTTGACTTCCCATGCTCTGACTTAAGGGAGTAGCCGTTGGGTCCAGGGCTGTAAGCCTTTTCTTCATTGCTATGGAGCAATTCTCTTTGAATCTCAGAGATACCATCAAGAACATGTATGCCACCAACTGGACAACCAATGCTCTCTTAAGGCATCTGCAGTATGAACCCTTTCAAGATTTCCTGTTAGAAATTCAACGTAACAGTTAGGTGTTTTTGGGACAATCAATCCACTGAGATAATGACTGGGGACTAGGCTGGTTCGCACTTCTTCCAGCTGCCACAGGAAAGAGTGGTTTGGATCATCTACAAAGTCATAAGAGAAATCATTGGCACTCCCACCAGAATTCAGTAACATCAAAGGGTTCTCCAGACCAAGTTGTCCCATATCCCCAGAAGTAAAATCAATCTATCCTTAACTAGTAAAAAATAGATAATAAATCAAATACTACTAAAATAAAAATACTTATAACTAGTCCATCAACGTATTGCAGTAAGAAGCATGGAAAATGACACTTAGTCCCATCAAAAAGATAAAAACTTGAGCATATTGATTATTTTAGCCTATAGCCAAAGCTTGCTTAGTTAAATATAACAACAATATCATAGCAACAACCAAGAACCAAAAATAATATAGTTCCACCTTTTGCAAGTGAAGTACAAATAAACACATACTGCATGGCCAAATTTTCAAGAACTATAGGGATAGTTGAAGATTGATAATCAGGAAATGGGAATGTGGGTGGTCAAAACAAAGTGGGTGAAATAGATAAAAGAGCCTATAAGGAAATGAAACAGGTGCAATCGATCTGGTAGTACTATACAATCAAAGATTTAACACCATCAATTATTGATTACACTAAGAAGCCAAGAACATGTTCTCCCGTTCACTTAGTTGAAATCAACTTAACCAATTTCGAGAAATTAAAACAGGGCAACAACATGAATCCTATGGATGGCTTCAAATATAAGCATAAAATGAACATAGTAATAAATGTATCTTATCTCATGAGAGACAAGTTTATGTCAAGAAAGAGTTCTAAAGTTAGCATTTAAGAGCTGTTTACACTCCACAGAGCAAGGGAAGTCAACAGGGAAAAACCAAAACTTGGACTGAGAAAATGACAAAAACAACCATGAATTTGCTATAATTTTCTCCATCTTTTTTCACAATCCAAAAAATAAAACAAAATTCAAGAAAAAAAAAGATTTTTAAAAACTCACCCCGCCAAAGCAAAGAAACCCTAACAAACAATGATAAACAGCCAGCTCGTATGCAACCATATTCAAACAGGAAGCAAGTCAAGAACACAAACTTAAAAAACAAAGTAACAAGTTTCCTACTATTAAGATTAAAAAAAATACCCATCAACGTGAGATCAGATAAAATGAACAAAAATAAACAAAAAAAGCTTAGATTCAGAGTTGAAGAATGCTTCAGTCATGAATAGTTAAGGCAACTCAACTATAGACAAATGCAACATGTGTAACTAATTATATTCATATATTTTTACAAAATAAAACTGAGAGCAACTTACATTGGTGATGAAACAATGGGATTTTCAGAAATTTAGGGTTTAAGGGGAAAAAGAGAATAGAGAAAATGGGCAGTGGGCACGGCAGGTTCTTTGGCTGTCACCTTTGCTTGGGGCATTGGTGTCGTATGTACATTCTCTAAGAGGTGGTGAAGAAAATGATGAAATTACTATTTTACCCCTATACTGTTCTCGAGGCAGCCAGGCTGGCCATATCAGGCCCAAAACTTTGGAAAGGCCCATGTTCTTCATAAATTTATATTTTTTTATATAATTATATTAAAAATTATTATTTTATATTATTAATGAAAATTTTAATTTATAAGCTGATTAAAATATCATCACGTTTCCTTTTATTTATTAAATTTTAAATATACATAATTTCATTAACACTATTTTATTTTTATTTTTTTTTTATACATTTTAGGAGGTAGGTTGGATTGGATTGGTGGATTTGTTTGTTCATAGCCAATGAATATATGTATATTTAATTAAAATTTAAAATATTAAAATATTAAAAAAATTCCTGAATTATTTTATTTTTTAAATAAATTTTTATATTTTTATGACCAAATAAATTTTTTATTTTTTGATTTGTATTTAAATAAATTTTTTAAATAAAATAATAATTTCTATTAACAACTTATTTAAATACAAAGTAAAAACTAAAAATTTATTTGAATTTAATAAAAATATAAAAATTTATTTAAATAAAATTAAAAATTAAAATAATTTTTTATTGTCTTAGTCAATTCAAAATACATTCGTTTTATTTTCTTATATAATTATTCAATTGTGATAACGTATTTGTAATGTCTTTCGTAACAGCCAACTCTTGCTTGCTTCTAAAAATAACTTAGTGATTTTCCGATTGGAAATTTGGAAAAAAAAAAAGAACTGAAAATCAAAAGGATAGGAAGATTTAATTATATAAAAATATAAATTAAGGATGAATTAAGATTTAGTTTAATTTATATAATATATTTTAAAAAATAATATTCAGTGAATTTGAAATTTAAAATTTAATATTATAAATTTTTTATTATTTTTGAATTATATTTTATAAAAAATTAAAATTAAAATTAATTCTGAAAGACAAAAGTGAAAAAGATAAGATTTGAGAGAGGCTTAATTTCACCACTAAGCTAAGTAATAAATCAACCATTTCAAATTTCTTGCATTTAAAAACAGCAAAAACATTTTTTTCAAAACAAATAAAATATTTATTCAAAAATATAAACCAAAATTAATATAATAAATAACTTAAAATGTAATTAAATTACTTCATGCAATTATAATATTTAATAAATTTATAATTTTAATTTTAATCCATACAATTTCAAATATAATCTTATCTCAAACTCCTGTCTTTGGAAAAAAAAAACAAACTCTTATTCTTACGGAAAGAATCAAAGAGAAACGACCTTGTCAATTTTCAGCTACATCAAAATTGTAGGTGGGAACAATCCTCAAGCTTCAACACCGAACCGACTGAGTATAATATCAAGAAGCAAGTTTCATTTTAGGATTCAAGCTTTTCTACGTATTTTGGCCTGAAATCATTATTCATTAGCATTTAGCATCAGAAAGGGCATATTCCTCTGTTTCCCAGTTCTTTATAAGGATAGCCTCCGTTTGCTTTCCTCCAAAAAAAGGTTACGAAAATAGCCATCAATCACAGTTCTGATCATCGCCTAAATCAGTCAATCACCGAAAATTCAATCACAATCATGTCTACTCCTGAGGTTCTGCAAAGAGAAGACGACCTTCTCCTGTCATCTCCCATAATCGAGCTTAGGAAAGGTAAAATTTTTGTCTATTCTTTTTGTTTTATGTTGATGATGAACTGAAAACCCAGATTGATTATCATATTATGTGGGTGAAATTATACCCTTTTTGAGAAAAGTTTAAAGCTTTCCCTCTTGGGAAAAATTCAGTGATGTTTGTTTTAAATTTTCGGCAGGAGAAAATGGCAAATCTCGTGGGCTCTCGATTGAGAAGAAGATTGAGCTTCTCGAGAGCTTGAACGGAAAAGTAACGTTCTTTATCACTGCCTAATCAGTCCATTGTTTAGAATAATTTCCCATTTGATATATTGATGATGAGATCCATTTTGTGGATTCAATATCAGAAAATAAACGATTGAGCTTACATTGGTTTGGTGGTAGGTGTTGGAGTGTTGTTTAGCCTTTTATTTGCAGATTTCTAGGAAATTTGAAATGTGATCCTTCTTAATGAAAAATTTGCCTAAAAACTGTTTTTGAACTAGCTCATTTATGAATTTCGCTGAGTTAATGGTTTCATTTCTGAATTTGTTTAGGATATTTCAAGAATAAGCTATTCCTTCCCCTAAATGATTGTTTATTTGCTGCAGATTACAAACCGGCGTTCTCGGAGATGGTTAAATGATCGTTTGTTGATGGAGCTTGTTCCCCGCTTGAATGCAGAAGAAATCAGAGGCTTATTTGCTCCACCACCATGGGGTAATGACCTGTCCTGCTGAAGATCTCTCATTTTACTCTATGTACTGTGTTACTAACCACCAAGTCTTGCCTTCATGAATCATGATGTCTAATACTTGCTTTCAGATATTAAGAATATGGGCAGGAAGCATCATTATATGAGTACAATAGTAACTTAATAGGTCAATGATGATAGCTGAAGGGATGAGAACATTATTGTTGCTAGCATACTTTAGATAGATTTGTCTTGTTCACTGAAACCACAAGTAGCCAACCACAGTAGTTTCTTTTGCTTTATTCCAGGTCTATTATATTGATATGGACTTGTAATTCATTCACAGGTGATGATGTGCCACCATCAGCATTTTGCATGGCTAATGTGGGAGAATGGGACAAATTTAGGAATATAGACATGGATAAAGAGGTCATTTTGCTTCCCTTATTCATGAAAGCTTTTTCAATCTTTTAAAAAGTTTCTGTAATTGAAGAAGATATCCTGAACCAATTTTCAATATTGGGAAATTATCTCTAAAGGTAAGTTTATAAAGAGAAAATTGTATTTCTTTGCATGCCTCTGCTTTATTTGCAGCAGTACTTATGTATCTCTTAATGTCATTTATGTTGTAAGTTAAATTTACTGTTTATAAGCTAATCTGGATTTTAGTGTTGGATTGGCATGTCTGTGGCAACATGCTTATGCTATTTGCCTCTTCCTCTGTGTTAGGCTAATATTATTGGTGTCATTAATAATTCATCTACAAAGAAGAAATTTCACGCCGATGGTGATAAGATGGCTGTCTTGAATGCATGGCAAAGAATTGATTGTAGAACAAGGGAGGCTCTACGACGTAGCTTTCTTTCAGAGCTTATTGCAGGCTATGAGGTACATGATTTTGCTTTTGCTTCTGCCAGAATGATTATTATTATAGGGGTCTTCACTCGACCTTTTGCTTTTGATTTGCTTACAATACTTTAGCTACCACCTCATTTGCTTTTCCAACGTGCAAGGGAACTGGGGAGGACTGGGCTTGTTTAATGTTAGCATGTATTATAGATCCCAGGTTGATATTTATGCTATAATCAAAGGCCTAAGTTTTGGTTGAAAAGGCTTAGTGCGGTTATTCCAGGCTCCAGATGTGTCTCGTGAGAGTTGGGTTGTATATGCTTGAAAGGCTTTAAAGCAGATTTTTGGTTGAAAATTTTTTGCCCTTGACTACTAAATAAGTAAACAACTAATGTATGAGAGGGAAATATAGTTTGACATAAGACCAACCTGAGTTAGAATAGTCTCCAGGCTTTGGCTTTGGTGAAATTGTGAAAGGCTGAGCTGGCTCGATATCCAACTTTGTATATTTTTATGTATCTCCATAACCTTGTTTAAGTACCTAATTTTTTACTCTTATGTGGAATAAACTTCCTTTTCACTTTCAGGATAGCATACGGACATTCATAAAGGAAAGTGGGGATGGAGATGACCTCTCATTACAGGTCCAAGATCCTTTCCATAGATTGTTGCTGCATGGTGTCTGTGAGGTAATCCTTTGCATCCATTTTCTTTTTCTTTCAAATGTAGAGGCTTCATTAAACACTAGCTAAGCAATTAGGCTTTGCAAAATGCTGTCCAAACTTGATGTTGGGCTATTTCTATTAATATGGAAAATATTGTTTAGAAAAGAGCTCTGCTATTTGATTCTTGTATTATCTGCTTTAGCAACTCCTTATGATGGTTAAACTTAAGTATGCTCTAACCAGTGCATTTTTATTGAAGATTTCTTGCGTGGTGGAAGTGTACTAACCCTTTCCTTGAACAGTTTTACAACTTGATCTCAGTAACGGTTACGCAGACGAAGGATGCAGAGTCACTGAAGGTAACAAGGATAAAGAAAAAGAAGACAGGTGTAGTTGATCTCCCAAATATCACATTGTCCCATTTCCTGAAAATGTCAAAGGAGGGCATTTGGTAGTTCTACTGCCAGGAGTTCTCAATTCATGTTCATAAATAAAGAAGTTGTGTACAATGCTGCATTCTAACTTAATGTATCTTGATGATGAAGTAATATTGGCATTAGTCATCACCTGTAAATGTAATTTTAGACCTATAGCTTTGTAAAGCTGGGGTGGCTGAATTCATAATTTCTTCCAGTCAACATAACATGTTGACTGCAGGTTTAGGGTTTAGTTAAGACATGATTCTTCAACATTGTTGTACTTTGTAATGGCTAATAGGCATGATTCTTCAACATTGTTGTTGTATTGTTGTTGTACTTTATAATGGCTAATAGACATGATGCTTCAACATTGTTGTTGTTAGAGATGTAAATGATACATTAGTACTCGTAAGTTATTCGGTTTTAATTTAGATAAAACTTGAATTCGGTTTGGTTATTATTTAGTCAAGTTCAAGTAGCTTGATTTATCGATCGAATTAAATTCGAGTATTCTTATATTTAAGCCTAGTTATTCGTGAGTCTAATGAAGTTTTTATATTTTAATTATTTTAATTGATAAAATATATCGAATTAAGCTTGAGCAAATAATTAAATTTTTGTAGAATATAAGAATCGAATTTATTTTTACATATTAATCGAAGTCTAATCGAACGAGTTCGAGTAGTTTGATTTTTATCTCGAGTCGAACTCGAGTTAAAAAGATAAAACTCGGTTGAGTTTAAGTCAAGTTTCAAACCTCAAATTTGGAGTCACGCTCGAACTTAATATTGTATCGCTTCAAACTCAATTGATTATATTTCTAGTTGTTGTACTTTATAATGGGTAATCTTGTATCAAATTTCCTCATCAACAATGATTGTTTTTGTGTGTCTATTCTACGGCTGAATAGCTCATGTCATTTGTGGCATATCTAAGTCTCTAAATCATGTTCAAGTTTCCATAATTAAACTTAAATTGAAAAATATGAAATAGATAAAATTAAATAATAGATTGGGTAATTTTAAACATAATGTAAAAGTGTTTAAAATTTTAACAAAATATATATGAATTTAACAAAAATAAAAATATATTTTTTGGTTTATTTTAGTATTTAATACAAAACAAATATAATACCAATACATGAATAGTTTAGACTATTAAATAATTATAGGTTATTGGTTTTTTTTATTTCAATACAAAACAGAAACAATATAAATGCACAAGAATTGTTTAGACTAATAAATAATTATAAATTATTGGTTTTTATTTTAAATACAAAATAGACATAATATAAATATACAAATGGTTTTATATTACTAAATAATTATAGGCTTTGTTTTTCTATTCCCAATTCTTATAATCAAAACTTTGTTAGAATTCTCAAATTGATATTGGATAGAGCATGTCAGACCAACTGGAGGGAAAACCTCTCACCTCGTAAGGATATCTTGTTTCCCCACATGCATCATTTATAGCTTCACAATAATTGTCATATGCTCCTATTAAATGCTTCATGGGTCGACAGCTAGTTCAATAGAACACGAGCACTCGACTTAATTGTAAATTGTAAGTGGTAATATAGGAATGAACTGGGGGCACAATGCCAATTCATTTCTGCTTGGATTTTGTATTGATTTTTCATTCTTTCCTTTCCTTTCCCAATTTTGTATTACATATCCATATTCTACTTTGATGCATGTTAAGCTATGTGGTCATGCAACCTTAGCATCTGCGCACAGTCTCTTTATGGTAAATTCAAACATAATTGAATTTGACACACTATCTGGAATTCTAACAGCTAAAACGGTTCCAGATGTTAATCCAGCCTATGTCTCCAAGATACAGAATGGTGGAGTGCACGAGTATTTTCTAATTAAACTGAATTTTCCTAGCGTTCCCATCACTGAATTCAATTCTGCTGAGGTTTCAGCTATTTCGAAAGCCTTGAATGGTGCTCCTCCGATTGATATCAAGAGGACAACTACCGCAGATGATCTCTTTGTAATTCTTCCAATATTTTGTTTCTTTCTTTTCTCGTCTCAGTTTGTCTTTTCTAAATTAGATTGATTTACTTCCAATTTCTTTTAAGACAGGTAGAAGTAACTTTTGAAATAGAAGTATGATTAAAAGGAGTGGCATAAACCATCATCTTGTTTTCATTTCTCTGCTTATTTATTTATTTTCATAAGCCAAGAGCACTCTTATTGCTGTCAGGTATGCTGTTATTTTTATACTTTCATGTTTGTTATGATAGTGTGGTGATGGGGGATTTGTACTTAGATCTCTTTTTCTGAAAGGACCATTCATTTGCAGGTTGTGCTCCCATCCAGAAAATCTGTTATTGAAATTGGACCACTGTTTGATGACATACTGAAATGTCCTGGACGAGGCTTAATTGTTTCAGGGGTTGCTCCTCCAGATTCTAAATTTGATTTTATTAGTCGGTTTTTCTGCCCTAAATATGGTATTAATGAGGTGATACATTACACTTTATCTCAAACAATTGCTATTTCTTCTAAGCGTCTACTTTGTTTGATTCACTTATCCTACACTTTGTGAGGATATCCATGGAACATATAAGATGCTTGACTCTAATATATTACGTTCTCAGAAAGAACTTTTTGATGTTAATTATCAAATTTGTCTGCTGTAGCTGATAAGCATCAAAGCCTGGGAAAAGAAATGAATGATTACTTGCAAAAATAAAGAAAATAAGTCAATTGATGCCAAGTTTTTATTTTAGCAATAACATTCCAAGTTATGTGAGTGTAAAAAGTACTTGATAGCTGGTTGAGTACCGACCAAATTTTATTCTGATAGAGGCATGATAAATACCGGCATTCATGCATATATGCTCAAGGCATCTATAGCTTGCCCGTTTCTCTTTGTCCATTCATTGATGGATCATTATTTGTCTAGAAGATGGGTTGTACAGATGCTGCCATGATAAAACTAGTGCAGACGTGCTTATATTAAACAACTTATTCATGTCTGTTTCGCATATCGATCAGGATCCGGTTTGTGGGAGTGCAAATTGTGCATTGGCACCCTATTGGACCCAAATGCCGAAAAGTGTGATTTCATTGCACATGCGGTATCTCTCCCTTTCTTTTCCTTTGAATCATTCAAGGAAACCAATGCTGCTGTCACTTACACTTTCATATTGATTTTGTGGTTTACTTTGCTTAGGCATCACTTAGAGGTAGAATTATACTTAGACAAACAATTTCAAATACGATATAATAATATAATATAAAAATGATACAGAAAAAATCGTATATATATTTTAAAAAAATATATTTCATGTTTATTCGTGTTGATATGAATTTCGATATGATATAATTTATGTTATATATGTGTTGACTCATTTAAACACGTGATACAACACAAATAACACATTTAATTTAATTTTATCATACAAATATACGTTTAATATGTTTAATACGTTTAACATATTTTTTATATTTATTTTAATTTAATATAAATATATAAAAATTATTTAATTTTTAATTTTTTAAATTATGATACTTAATTAACTATTTAATATCATATAAAATTATTTTAAATATTTAATTATTATAAAATTATTTTTTAATATTAATAATATAAATATAACTTAAATATTAATATTAGTCTTATATATTATTATTTTATTCTTTAATTTTTAATAGTTTATCATTTTAAATTTGATACTAAAAATTAATATAATTATATAATATAAATTAAAATTAAAAAATATATATTAAATACATATTAAATGAGTATTATATTTTTTTATTTTTTAATATGTAAATATTTTTTATATTATTAATATATCAAATTTATTAAGTAATAAATGATGAATAATTTATAATTTTTATTATTTTTTTATATATTCATATTAATCGTGTCTATTCGTATTTATTTGTATATATTCATATTAATCGTATATATTTATATTATTTATATTTATTCATGTCATAATTAAATAAATAATTATATACATATTAATAATATTATATCGTATGTAATATATATATTAAATATTTTATATTCATATTAAAAATTTAAATATATTTTATGATTTATATTATATTTATATTTTAATAATTCATAATATCAAATATAATATGAACCACACGTATTGTCAGGTTTAGGCGGAATGTTGAAGATTCATTTAGATGAGCAGAATCGTAGAGTACTTCTGCGAGGAAAAGCTGTTTCTGTGCTGGAAGGCTTTATTTTGGTATGGATGTTAATTTCTGTCCTGGATATCTGGCGTATTGCAGGTTCTAATGATAGTTATGTGTGCGATTCCCTGTAATTTTAATTAATATACTTTTAAGTTGTGGTCTATTCTTGATTACTTTGCCGTGGGACATGTGCTATCAGCTGATAATATGATTCTCTTTCATCTCTGCTAAAGACGGCATCAAATGTAATGAGATATTATCGAAATTGAAAACTTATCTCTGAGAGCACCAGATGATTATTTAGTTTATGAATTGAATTTCTCTGAGAGCACTCTCGCATTTGAGATTGACGTGCTTTGAATTATGAAGGACTGACAACATTGTCACTGCATTATTTCATTATTATTAGAAGACGAAAGAATTCATATCAGCAGACGGGGAAAAACTTTACAGTTGGTTTATTACTATCTTAATCAATTCTCACATGTTGACAGAAACCACAATAGCACTTTTAAATCGAAGTTATAGAACTTATCTAATTCAAAATCTTTCAAGAAGTTTAGATGATTCTCACGAAATCGAGACAATTTGTTATCAAAAGCAACAGCTACAAGATTTCTTACGATTACAACACGCACTAATGCTAGCCGCAATTTTCCATTTCAATTGTTTTGAGGGCACAGAGATACTTGCTGCTCCATTATAATAAATGATACATATTACAAAACTAATCCTTCAATCGCTGAAGGAAACTATATGAAAATGAATTTATTCCTTGCACGAAATAAATTAAGCCAAGTCAACAATCTCCATTTTACTAATAGTGGTTGTCTGCTTTATACATGCTCATGGTTTAAATATTTCACTAAAACTATCATCTAATAGCTTAAATAAATCAACTGGAGAAGAATGAAGAATCTGAACTCAAACTCACTCTTACAAATCAACAATATCTTGATCTAATAGTAAAAAGAGGAATTATTTGACATGTAAATTTGGTACAAACAACCCTACTCTTCATCTTCAAAATAAAAAATCTTTAAGATAAGGAAATGATATTAATAATAGTAAGAAGAAAAAAGCTCTAATCAAGATAATCAAATGATATATAATTTCTTTGCTAACGGATTAGGAAAATGGTCAAAGTCAAAAGTCCTCTTCCAGGCTACCGCGTCCGGAGAGCCTGGCGGACTTTGCTTCTAGCTGGCAGCCTGCTTTGACCTTTAGCGGGCTCTCGGCCTTTCGCGGTGGCTTGTCCGGACGCCACATTAGTTGACATTGATTAAATTGCAGGGGTATATCAAGTCATCAGCAAATCTATAAATAGAGCTGCAATTCTACTTTGTCTCCATACCCATTTCCCTTTCATCTCTACTAGTACAACATATTGAGATTAACATGGCTTCTCTTCAATATTTTCTCTTCACTTCTCTGTTACTGTTCCTTTGTTCCCCTTCATTAGCCCAACAGTCTTTCCGTCCAAAGGCCTTGGTAATTCCTGTCTCTAAAGATGCCTCCACACTTCAATACCTGACCACTATCAACCAAAGGACACCCCTTGTGCCCGTAGACCTTGTGGTTGATCTTGGTGGCAGATACATGTGGGTTGATTGCGACCGGAATTATGTTTCATCAACATACTGCCCTGCCAGGTGCGGTTCAGCCCAATGCTCATTGGCTGGAGCAAATGGCTGCGGAGATTGCTTCTCAGCACCAAGGCCAGGGTGCAACAACAACACATGTGGTGTCAGTCCTGATAACTCTGTGACTCACACCGCCACTTTTGGTGATGTTTCCCAAGATGTTGTGTCTCTCCAATCAACTGATGGGAAGAATCCTGGAAGAGTAGTCAGTGTGCCTAGGTTCCTTTTCGCCTGTGCACCGACTTTCCTGCTTCAAGGTCTTGCTAGCGGTGTTGTGGGCATGGCTGGGTTCGGTAGAACTAGGATTGGACTTCCTTCACAATTTGCTGCTGCCTTCAGTTTCCACAGGAAATTTGCTATTTGCCTCTCATCCAATGGTGTTATTTTCTTTGGCGATGGTCCCTATGTGTTCCTCCCTGGAGTTGATGCATCAGAATCCCTTACTTTTACACCACTCTTCATTAACGCTGTTAGCACAGCCTCTGCTTTCCCTCTGGGTGAACCTTCCGCTGAATATTTCATTGGCGTGAAGTCCATCAAGGTGAATGAAAAAGTTGTCTCATTGAACACAACATTATTGTCTATTGACAGCGAAGGTGTTGGCGGCACAAAGATCAGCACCGTGAATCCCTACACGGTCCTGGAGGCTTCAATCTTTAAAGCTGTCACTGAGGCCTTCATTAATGAGGCTGCTGCTAGGAACATCACCAGGGTTGCCGGTGTGGCTCCATTTGAGGTGTGCTTCAGCTCAAGCAATATTCTAAGCACACGCTTAGGTGCAGCAGTGCCATCAATAGATCTTGTGCTGCAGAATGAGAACGTTTTGTGGAGGATTTTTGGCGCAAACTCGATGGTAGAGGTTAGCAGGGAAGTGTTGTGTCTTGGGTTTGTTAATGGTGGCTCAAACGCAAGGACTTCCATTGTTATTGGAGGGTACCAATTGGAGGACACTCTTCTTCAGTTTGATTTGGCAACTTCAAGGCTGGGATTCAGCTCTACCCTCTTGGGCAGGCAAACTACTTGTTCCAACTTCAACTTCACATCCAACGCTTAGATGCCATGCCCCTGGTCAAAATATGAATATAGAGTACCAAACAGTATAATTATGTCTACTTTTAAAAAAAAAATTGTAAGTCGGATATAAAGAAAGAAATTATAAATAAAAAATTTAATTAAATTATAAATCAAATATTGCATAAATTAATTGATAAGAATCTTTAATAAAAAAAAATCCACTAACATTTAGTCAAAACAAAAACCATGTGCTGTTATTACTCTATCCAGAGTTTTTAGTGAGTTCACTGTGAATGGATAGGATTGGTGGGTTTCTGAAAGGGAAATAAGGAAATTCCTAAAGATCATTCATACATAGATGGCAGAATATATATAATATTGTTCCGTTTAATTAAATAAAATCTGGTGTACTGATCAATCATTCTAGAAAAGTGTTTTGGATTGGTTCTGACTTTTGATTCCAGGTTCCACGCTTCTTCCAAATTTGAATAGTATAATTTCAATAGTTTATGGTTTTGGAAACTTTCTTGTTTTTGGAACGGGGATAATTTTTTTTTTTTAAATGAATGAATGAGGATAATTTTATGTATCAAATCAAGAAAAATGAAAAAAATTCATCAGAATACTATATATCTGTTACTATATATATTAAAATAACCTTGCTTAAGGTCTCAATTGCTTGACAAGTATATATTAAAATAACCTTGCTTAAGGTACTAGTTGCTTTGCTTGACATATATTAAAAATAATGAAAATTTGATAAAAAATAGTCTAACATTAAAAATAATGTAAAAAATTGATGAAGAATAGTCTATCTTATACCAATAGTATTTTATTTAAAATTATTGTAATATAATTAATTAATTTTAATTCAACATTATATTAAGTCTTTTAAAATTTTATATAAAGTCTGCACTTATAAAACGATAGACTTTTATATAAACATTTATTAAAATTAAATAATTATAAAGTTATAATAAAAAGTTATTGTTGATATGTGCTCCTACCTTATATAATTAGGGATAATTACGGTTTGAATTGGATAAATTCGATTCAATTTTTTTGAATAATGCATAATATTATAAAGTTTTAAAAATTTGATCTGAATCAAAATTAACTTTCTATTAAAATCAATTTTATCAAATCTGAACTAAATTCTATCAGTTTAGTTAATCGATTTTTAAATTTTTTATATAGTATTTTAATAAAAAATTTAATATATTTAAATAAATTTATATCTAAAATAATTATTTTTATTTTAACTCGATTTTGTTCTTTTCTTTTTTTGTTTATAACATTTATATCCAAACTTAATATATACATTTAATATCTAATCTTGATAAAACCAAATAAAAAAAATAGATCCAAACCAAATCAAACCAAATACTACAATTTTAAATCAATTTTTGATTTTTTTTTTTGTTTTTTTTTTCTCACCCTTGTAAAGGGGCCAAACTCTAATTAATTTCTTGTCAATTTTGGGTGAAGTTAGTTTAAACAAATGGGATCAAGGAAATGGCCTTCCACCTGAAGAAGGAAGTGGATTGGGGCTAGAAAATGTGTGGAAATTATCTTATTTCCATTTTGCCGTTTATTCTAAAATCTATGCAGAAAGATTTCCAAATTTTTAAACAAAAGATAATGAAATAAGTACAACATAGAGTAAATTCGCAGGCTCACCATGGTCCAAGCCTATTTTCTGAGATGAGAAGCTCAATTTAATTCGGTTTTTGTGTAATTGAATAGTAATAAATCTTGCTCCTATATTATTTTCATTTGTTCATCATTGCAATTTTCAGATTAATTAGCATGCCTGTAACTTTAAATAACATTCAAATAATTCTATTTGTTTTAGTTACAATTTAGATTTTATTATACTTTCGATGCATTACGATTAAGTTTATTGTATTTTCAGTTGAATCCAAACGTTTATTTTAATAAAATCAAGTAAAAATAAATTTTTTATTAAATTTTTTTAATCATAATTATAATAATTTTTTTAATCATAATCATAATAAATTTTATTATTATTTTTAATTTTATTACGATTAATTTTATCATTCATTTAAACGAAACCTTAATTTTTAATTAATTATTAAAATTTGAAAACTTCACTTTTAAAATATGTTGTGGCTTACTCAATATGATGATCTAATCAATAAATTATTATCTTAATTGTAATAAGGTTTAATGTTAAATCGTAGGTCTCAAATTTAAATTTCAATAAAAATTTAATAAGTGTAAAAAAAAAAAAAATGATGATGATGTATGTGAAAAGACCATATGACCTAAGCCCGCCTTCTTTGCGTATAAATGTTAAGACTATCTATTTTCAAGAAGTGTTTTGGAACGCAAATATAGGTATATGCTATGTATGCTTGTATGTAGTATATGTACATGATACATATGATTCTAATAAAACCGCATACACGAGATTGAATGTACAACCATTTTGACAAAAAGCACATGGCAAATAACCAATGAATATGATTTTGATTTATTTATGCAACGTAGACCGAACCAAATAAGAATCCCAATCGTCTTACGTTACATTTGATTTATAGTTAACCATGATTATTTAGGGAAATTAATCAAAGTAGGATCCTTGTGGTTTACATGGGAGAAGTTGCCATCATGCTAAAAGATGTAAAAGCAAAAAATAAAAGCCAAGAGAATTGCTTCTCATATGTGGATCCAGGGGCCTGGACAATCGCATCATCTACATATATTAGCCGCCTGGCAGATCCATAAATGTAGTGGATGTCGCTATCTCTTTCCCTCTTGATTAGATTCTATTTGATCAGAGATTGTTTAATTAGATTTCGTGTATTCCTGATGAGATTCCCACTTTGATTGAACTTTATTTTCTGTAATGACAACGATTACACGGATTAAGGCATTAATTGGCTTCAATCTGGAAGCAAAGGAAACAGATAAATAGACTGAGCAATTAAAAAAATTAGGAAATGGAAAAGCGTAGCAAGCACCAATGATTCCCTGCTTTAAGGAACCAAAACAATGAGCAGACTAATTGAGATGCTAAAGCAAATTTATTAAGTCTTATTCAACAGGTCTCCCGTTGAATCTTAACACCTGCATTCTTCATTCTTATCCCATCTTCTCTTTATGGTTTTTCCATTTTTTTTAATAAAAAATTAAAATAAAAAAGAAAGATAAATTCCATCTAAGTCTTTAAAATTTAAATATAATTCAATTCAAGTCCATTAAGTTTACAAGTGGACACTTTACCCCACACTTTTCAATTAATAGGATAAATTTTTTTTATCAATTATCTCTTAATTATTTCATTAATAGTTTTATTATAATATCATTCTATCTTTAAAAAATTAATATCTCCAAATATTCACATAAAATAATAATTTATAATAATAATTTTTGTTATTTTTCTTAAAAAATATAAGATATATTAATAATATATAAAAAAAGATTTTTAAGTGCAAAATATAAAAACAAAATTTACAATTATAAATATGTTAATATATAAATATGTATAATAAAATGAATATATTAAACATGTAACAAATATTGATATAGAACAAATTAAAAAAATGAATATGTAGCATATAATAAGAAAAAATGTTTGGTTGAAAAAAAAAAGATAAAATTTGGTTAAAATTTGCTTAATATATTTAATATATTTATTTTGTTTTACATATATTTACATATGAGTATATTTATAATTGTAAGTTTTATTTTTATATGTTGCATTTAAGAAATCTTTTTATATTATTAATATATTTTATGTATTTTGCAAAAAAATAAAAATAATTTATTGTGATAAAATATTATATTATGTGAATATTTGAGGATATTGATTTTTTAGGAGTAAAATAATGTTTTATTGAGATTATTAATAAAATAATTAAAAGATAATTGACAGAAGGGCCTTTTTGTCCTGTTAATTAAAAAATTTGGAACGGAGTGTTCACTTTTTAAATTAGTATATTTGAGTTGAATTATACTTAAATTATAAGGATACGATGGAATTTGCCCTTAAAAAGGAAAAAGAAACTTTAAACACAATGCCCTCAAAAACTGTTTAAACCTTGTCTGTTTTCTTATAAATGGTTGTATGATATTGACAATGCCACTTCCCTGTTACCAGTCCACATTCATAGCAATTTGCATTTTGCAGAACTCCCGAGAGAGAAGCAGGGAGATAGCGCATACGATGCTAGGTGTCTTTAGCAGTGAAATTGTAACGCCACCAGAGGAGCTGGTGGCTGCAGGAAACAGGAGTCCATCCCCCAGAACCACCGCTTTGGCTTTGATGAAACGCTACATCAAGTCTAACCCCTCTGCAGTTTCCATACAAATTGGTGACCAAGCTAGCTTGGCTTACTCTCGCCGGAATGAGTCTCTTCTACAACCAAGGTAAGATACAACATCTACAAATATCCAAAAAAAAAAAAGAGAGAAGATCATAAACAATTAATACAAATTAGTTCTATCAAACATAAAAAGGCTGCATGTCTTTTGATCGTTCTGGTCAGATTCTTGATTAAAAATAGGCTTTCATCACCATCTTCTCCTTTTCTCTATGGAGGGTTTTCTGGGTTCTAGTGCCTCTTTGCTCTTACAATTACAAGACCTCTGAATCAAGAGAGGAGCTTGTAGTTAATCATAGCAAGGATTCATAGATATGTAGCTTATCTAAGGTTCAAATTGAAAGATTAATCTGATAATCTTGGGTTTGATATAGAGCAGGCCTTCCATTTTGAGACCGGGGTCCATTGAAAGTTAGCATGAAATATTCAACTACGGATCACATTGCATGTTTCCCACGTGTCAATTATTAGAACTCAAAAGTTTTGCAGTTGGCTTGTTGTCTGTTTCTACTGATACGTAACGTGTGAGTTTTACTGTTTTGCCAATAACCTGCAAAAAATTAATAAACGGAACATGAAAAGAGCAGTGGAACATACACTTGAAGAAAAGAAGAAAGGGAGAAAAGAGTCATAAATTGTTGACGAGTGATCTAAATTATGGTTTTCTCTTGTATCTGATGATGTGAATGCAAATCGATGTTGGGTGCAGATCATTTGGGGTCAAAGATGATATATTCTGCTTGTTTGAAGGCATGCTCGATAACTTAGGCAGCCTAAGACAAGAATATGGTCTAGCCAAGTCTGCAAATGAGGTGATGCTGGTGATTGAAGCCTACAAAGTGTTGCGTGACCGAGGCCCTTATCCTCCCAGCCATGTGGTTGGCCACCTTGCTGGCAATTTTGCGTTTGTAGTATTTGACAAGTCTACATCCGCTTTATTCGTGGCTTCTGTAAGTTATTTTGGTAATTGGTATCTAAATGCTTGGTTAAAACTAATTTTTTTGCTCGCATGCTGCCTCAAGTACTGACCATCGGTCTGTTTAACATTGGTTAATACAAAAAACAGGATCAGTCTGGCAGGGTTCCCCTCTACTGGGGAATTACTGCTGATGGATTTGTGGCATTTTCGGATGATGCAGAGATGCTTAAAGGTGCATGTGGCAAGTCACTTGCTTCTTTCCCTCAGGGTATCATCTTTTTCTTCCTTTTGGAGTTTTAACAGTTCAATAGTTGGATTATGTACCCTAGATGCCCTAAGCAATTAAACATTCCCTCTCTGTTTGGTAATAATGCCCTGTACTTTGTAGTTGAAAATATATATATAACCTACTAGAGAATTGCCAATTGTCATAAACATATTCTGGACATTGAAATTTATGTTTTGCCAATGTTTATGCATGCTTTTGTTTTTTGCAATTTTTGATTGCTTAGAAGTGGTTTTTTTTTAAGAAATTGATGGCATTAGTAATTAATGAGGATGCTTCCAATGGTTTATAGGATGCTTCTTCTCAACTGCAGTAGGCGGGCTACGAAGCTATGAAAATCCCAAGAACAAGATCATTGCCATTCCTGCAGCTGATGAAGAGATATGGGGTGCAACATTCAAGGTAACAAATTCTGCATTCGCTACTTAATTCATGAGTCTTTTGAAAGGTAAAGTGATAAACAGCATTGCTAATTGACGAACAGCCACTTTGGGTTTTTTTTGTTTTTGTTTGTAGAAGAGCACTAGACTGTTAATTTTAATGGTTAAGATTTAAATTCTGACAATTTCAAACATTAAAAAAAAAAAAAAAACAAACTTTTTGAGTGGAGTAGCCAACTAAGCTAACTGACCCATAGCGATTAGATTTTATATACGAACTATAATCACCCCTAAATGCCCCGTTTATGGTTAACTTATATCCATCTAGCCATGCATCATGCTATGGATAGAGTAATTTTTCAGGATTAATATTGTGTTAACTACCAGTTACTTTTAAGAGAAGCGTGTAATTGACTTTCAGGTGGAAGGAGCAACAGTTGTCGCAGCCAGAGTAAATCAAGAAGGAACCCTGTTGTTGTGGTGATAATGGAAGAAGTGGAAGGGGGAAAGCCAGGGTGTGCCAGGGACTTCAACCATGTGAAAATTTGTTAATTTCACTATCATCTGTGTAAATGGTTTGAGTGAGACCCTTTCACTGCAATCCATCAAATTAGTACTACTAAATTACAATCACATAATAAAGCATGTCTTGCCTTTGTCCTTATGCTCAATTTTCTTCTCATGGAGGATGGAAAGGTAAACGTCTTTTTTCCTTTTTTAAAGGTTACAAAAATCTTTGAATTATAAATTAAAAATATTACAATCAATCAACCCTTCCAACATATATTTGCATTCAATTAAACTCTTATTTAAATAAAAAAATTAACACCATTACTGTTTTTTACCAACAAGTATCCCTTACAATTGTCAATTTTCACTTCAATTTGCAGTCCATTCAAAATACAAATTAAGGTAATAAAATAAGGAATGGACCAATTGGAAACAAGAGAAGGTTAAAATTAGGGTTAATTTAATATTATTGTTTCGAATAAAAAAGTTTGAATTGAGAAAAATGTATAAAAAAATGTGATTAGAAATTTTAAATATTTGATTTGATATTATTATAAAAAAATGTTGTGAGTAAAATTAAGTGTTTAATATTACTATGAAAAATGTTGTGGGTAATTAAAATTTTTAAAAATATATAATAATAAATATTAGAAAATATATAGATAACGCATTTTTTCAATGCAAAAGTATATCTTGGAGAGCTTTTGATTTAGATTTGCAAATTAGGTTTTTAAACTGATAAATTATATGTATTTTTTATTTTTTAACATTAAAATGAAGTCAAAAATAATTTTTAAATATAAGAACTAGTTTCACCTGTAATGCTAAATTCTAAATTAGAACTAAAAATAAAAGTACGTGGCATTGATCTTTTTGCGTAGTAAAAACTTAAGCGCTAGGCCCAAATGTAAAATAACTATTTCTGGTACGTCGTCGTTTCAATAAACTCTGAAAGTCAAAAAGGCCTCTTGGCGGTGGCCCGAGCCCTAAATCCCCCTCCCAGAGCAAACAGGCCCCCTCTCTCTCCCGCTTCTTTGACAGTTCGACTGGCTCTTTCGCTTTCTGCTTCAAGCCTACCTCTCCACTCTTTCCTCAACATGAAGCTCGTCAGGTCAGTCTATCTTTATCTTTTTCTATTTTCTTTTTACTAAGAAAATTTGCTTCTTTTCTTTGTGTTTACGAATTGATGTGGAAAAAAAGAACTTTTTAGATTCTTGATGTAATGGTTTTGATTTGAAAAAAATGAGTAGGTTTTTGATGAAGTTGAACAATGAAACGGTGTCGATTGAGCTCAAGAACGGAACCGTTGTTCACGGCACCATCACAGGTTCCTCGCTTTCCCTTTTCCTCTTCTTTTTCCCAACATTAGGGTTTAGCTAAACCCTAAAGCTCCGTTCCGTTCAGCAAAGTTGTAAAAGCTTTTGATTATTTGTAAAAAACTCTTGTCAATGTGCCATCGTTACGAGGTTTTATTGTTTTCTCTGTTTTTTTTCTTTCTTCTAAAATGAGTAATGCCAACTATAATCATAATTCCCGTCTAAATTGTGTATTCTGTGGCTAGCCTTTTCGTTAAATTTGTAACTTTAAAATTGGGAATAGATTTAGTTGTTCACAGCTTTGCGCCTAATATCACTTATGTTACCTTTTAAGATGAACTAATTTTGGACTTAGTATGCTGTTGAGTGGTGACTATGAATCATTTCTGAAAGGCAGCGTACTTTTGATAAACTATTCAAATGTATAGATTGGTTTGCACATATGACGTCTTAATTATGAGTTAGTTACTCATACTACATGAAATTGGGTTATTTGCAGACTTTCGTGTATGTGATTAACCAATTCCTGTCTGAACAATTTCTTTTCATCTTGTTGTTATTGGATGACTTTCTGTACCTTTATTAAAGAACATTGTTAAGCTCTTATTTTCTACTCTTTGGGTTTAGGGTTTGATCTCCTTAATTATGAGCTTCTTACGAGCATAATCTCCTAATAGGAATCTACTGTTTCTTAGCATTAATAATGACAAAAACTATGAAGTCAATTCTCCTTCTGTAAATGATACAATTGTTTTCTTTGTCTTAAGTGATCATCACTTTCGGCACTTTAAGCTCATGATGGTTTCTATAGGTGGAGAAATAGTGATGATATCTAACAAAGAAGAAACAATAATTTCTAAGAGGATTTACTTGGATACAAACACAAAAAAAGAATGTGTGCCTCTTTCTGCTTGAAGTCAATATCCCCTTTTATAACACGTGGCAGTAATATATTTAGTTGTCTATGACTACATTGCTGGATTTCTAGGTCACTAATATGCTGCTACGTCTCTCATTCTTTGTTATTTTGTATTTCTCTAATCAAAAGTTTTCTCTAAATGTTTCTAACTTGGACAGCATCGGTTTTGACCATGCATATTAGATTTTAAAGATGGGTAAATGGACTTTAGTGATTTCCTGATTGAGCATACACATGTTGGCATTGCAAGTTTCTGACTAATTGATTTACTATATTTGTTTTAGGTGTGGATATCAGTATGAACACCCATCTGAAAACAGTGAAGCTCACATTGAAGGGGAAAAATCCAGTGAGTTTGGATCACCTTAGTGTAAGGGGTAACAATATTCGCTACTATATTCTGCCTGACAGCTTAAATCTTGAGACATTGCTGGTTGAAGAGACACCTAGGGTGAAACCCAAGAAGCCAACAGCTGGTATTGCCATTTCTCTCTGGCTCCACCTTTTCCCCTTTTTGAATGTCCTACTTCTATAAGCTTTGTTTTCTCGAAGTATTGTTAGTATTGATCCTTCTAATGCATTTCCAAATTCAGGGAGGCCTTTGGGACGTGGTCGGGGTCGTGGGCGTGGGCGTGGACGCGGACGAGGCCGTTAAATAAGTTGTGCTGCTTCCAAATTTTTGTGACAGGTGTTGTTACAAATATTTTACTGTTATGTGAGATTATTAGCCCGGTTTGGATGGCTTAATTATGAATCCTGAGATTCCCCACATAGGATGATTTGATCTAATGCGAATAGCTGATCTGATAATCTTGTTCCTTTTTTACCATTTGTTGCTTGGAGACTGAATGGTATCCTAGTTTTCCATTTCTTTGCCAAGTACCGTTTGTACTTCTCAGTTTTTTAGGTTTTCACTTTTGGTTAAATATGTAATTTACTCAATTTCTGTTAACAACTTTTAACAATTTTGAGGTGGGAAATTTGATGGAATTTACCTTAAATTAGTGCTAAATTTGTTCAAAAAATAGAATTTGAGTTTCTCTTTTTCAAATTAAAAAAAAAAAAGAAAGGAAAGAACTCTGTGTGCTTGTTCTTACTTAATGGAAACAATAGTAGAATTGGTGTATCTCCATTTTGCAGTGTAAGATTGCTTGAATGTATTTTAGTTGAATTGAAAACTCTCTCCATCATGATTATCATTATCCTATAATAATTGTTCTGATTTTTGTAGCCCAAATTAATGGACATCATACCTAAAATCATGCCAAGTACCCTTGCTTCCCTTGTTTTAGATTTTGTTTTTTCTTTTACATGGCTATCACCTTCCAACCATTTTTTCCCTTCTTTTTGAATGGCAATTTTCACTCACAGCACCTTGAAGATGAAGCAGAACTTGGTTAATTTAAAGTACTTGTTAACTTCTAGTTTCTTCTAGCATAAATTTATGGTGACAGGTGCAACCATTTCTCTGTTTACCTGATTTTTCGTGGGTGGTAAAATGCAGCAATCTATCGGATTTAGATGCCTGTCCTGAAATTGAAATCTCTTTTTTCTACGATCAGGCGGCAACACTGGCACCGCAATAGGCATAGGACAAGAGGCGGCAGGGTGCCGTAGAATAAATGAGTAGGCTTGTCTCAATGTTGAGCCAATTTAATTTTTGGCTATCCCTATTTATGTCACCTAAAGCTTTCCTTCCCGTTCTATTTTAATACTAATAATTCCTTGTCTTATCATTTAGCTGTTATTGCAATTGTAAATTCGATGATATAATATAAAAATATTATTATAAAATATAAAATAATATAATTTAAAATTTTAAAAAATTTTATATAAATTTCATAAAAATTAAAAATATATTTCATATTTAATATGTTAATTATAATTATAGTTGATAATTTTGTTTCGGTATCGGTTGATAAGTTTTAGTTATATCAAAATATGATATATTTAAAGATGATTTTTTGTATCAAATTTGATATTAGATAATATCAATTATTTTTATTAGTTTTGGTTTGTTTCGGTAAATTTCTATGAAATAGCATGTTGCGGTTGATATGAAAATGTAAAATATATTTTGTAATTTTTAATTTATTTTTTATTATTTAATTATTTTTAATCAAATAAAAATAAAATTAATTGACAAAATAATTTTAAAAGGTGAGTTTTTTATTTTTTTTATTTTAACTTATTTTTTCATACTTTATTTTTTAAAACCAAAGTTTTATGATTTTATATTTTATTTTTTCAACCCAAAGTTTATAAATATTTTAATTTTTTAAAAACAATTATATTCCTTTTATAAAGATTAACAATTATAAAGTTTTGATTAATTTTTTTCATCTATTTGTTTTTATATTAATATTTATATGAAAAAATATTTATTTAAATATCATAATTAAGTGTTTAAAAATATTTTAAAAATTTTATGATATTATTTCTTTTGTTTTTTAAACCTATTTATTTGATTTAAATATATTCTATATTTATTTGGTGATTTATTAATAATATTATAATATAATTTATACATATTTATAAATATACTTGTACTAAATAAAAAAATCTAAAATAATATATCGAAACAATTGATATCGATATATATAATTTTTAAAAAAAATCAAAATATTATTGAATATGATATTAACAATCTTAATTATAACATATAATTTTTATATTTTATATATATTTAACATAAAATAAATATGAATAAATATACAAATGTTCAAAATCTAATAGTAATTACAAGCTTCCCCTATTTATTTATTTTTTATTCTTTTTAAGTCATTTTCTTTAATAACTCCTTTGAGTCACTACTGCATCCATCAATGCAAAATCTCGCACGTCGCGGGTGTGTGTGTGCTTTCATTTCTGACTCCAAAAATGTCTTCCTCTTATGTATTAGCCTTTTAATGAAAAATTAAAAATTCAAATATAAAGTTCGTTTTCATCGCATAAATTGAAAATTTTGTGCTCACAGCTCAATATTCTTTTTATAGTAGTTACGTCCAACTATATATGTTCAAAATGCTACTCTCTTCCAAGAAACTTTACGGAGAGCACGAATCTGCGAGCATAATTCAAAATTCATATGAAAATATTTAGAACATTAATTTAAATAATTACGGATTTGTTTGGGTTTACATAATTGATAAACAAAAACGACAGCAATTTTTCAAAACGATTAAATTCTTTTTTTTTTTTTTTGTTTTTGTTTTTAAAAGTAGTTTTTAATATATAGACATAATTAAAGAGAACATAAAATTTCAGCTAATTTTACTAAAACTTTAAAAATCTATCCATTAAAGGTTTAGTAGTTTAAAGGTTTACACAATCATCAAATTATATCGACACAATAAATGTGTAGATTCACACGTAAGTGATCATAATTAAATTATTTAAATTTTTATACTTATTTTATATTATAATTAAATTTATCGATATATTTTATTAAATATTAAAATCATCGATTAATAATAATGCATTTATTGAAAAATTCAAACATTCTTGTATTTGGATAATATTAATTTGATTGTTTGATTTTAAGAAAATATAATTTAAAAAAATTTCAGATTCATTAATTTTACTTTGATGTAGCCATGATCTTCAAAAAACAATTTAATCCTTTAAATAATATTTTAATAATGTTATCTAATAAAATCATCTGATATTAAATTATAGCAACCTTTATGTCCCTAATCGATATAAGATCAATCATGATTATAAGTATAAAAGACTTTATCAATAATAAATTTCAGTATAACTATATTTAAATTGGATTTTTTTTGGTTAAACAATAATCCCAATAAATCGTTAGAAGATATAATAATAAAAGAAAGGGGAATTAAAATACTTATTTTTTTTCAAAAAATTATTTGATAAAAAAAATCATCGCATTGTTATTTAACTAGTGCATTGAATCAAGGCCTCTACTAGATTTTCATTTTCCTCCATAGATTGCAAATATATGTTGAAACAATTGCAAATCTCGAAATTCTCCTTAGCCTCAAATGTCATACCACTATTATGTCGGGCGACTTCACTTTTTCCCGGCGTTTCCTAGCCACGACCGCACTACCGACAGCATGAGGTCCAAACATTGCCGCACTTACAATCCTGAAATAGAGATTTTATCCCCGGCTGCTGTAAATTTGCTGGAAACGAAGCTTTCTTGGCTAAACTGCATGGGCAAAAACATGTCCTTTTCCTTGAGTTTTGACGTTTTAGGGTGTTAAACTCCACACTTCGTTTCTCTCCAAAATCTTCCTTCAAAAATATAAACCGTGCTTGAATGTAATTTTTTTTTTTTTGTTGCAGTTCGTAAGGATGACGTAGAACACAACTATACAAGACTTAAACACGATAATCCATTTAGATTTTTCCAAGAAACTCAAGCAATTTAACCTTCTTGAACCCTTTCTGGCTTTTCTTGGCTTCACTTTGGTTACTTGTCTCTTCATTGCTTGCTTCTTTTACTTGAATTACCAGGCTTTCATCTTCCATGCATTTCCTTGGTTTGGCCTTAATGCTGCTGCATCATCAGCATTACAAGCAGAAGCAACAGCAGTGAATGTGAATCAACGTCTTGGGTTCTTGGAGGAAGGTGGAAATAGTTGTGATATCTATGATGGGAAATGGGTTTGGGATGATAACTACTCTTTATCAGAGTCCAGATTGCCCTTTCATAGATAGTGGTTTCCGGTGTATAGAGAATGGTGGGCCTGATAGTTTCTACACCAAGTGGCGCTGGCAACCTAAAGGTTGCAATTTCCCCAGGTCCTTTTCTCTTTTCATTTCTGTTCATCTTATAATGGAAATTAAAAGAAGAAAGTATAGATTGATTGCAGAAAAGTATAGATTGCTATTTTTTTTAAGGTCTGGTTTTTTCTTTCTGGAAGACAGATTTAATGCAACGAAGATGCTGGAAAAGCTAAGGAACCGGCGACTTGCATTTATTGGTGACTCAATTGGAAGGAACCAATAGGAGTCTATGCTTTGCATGCTTAGCTCTGTTATTCCGAGTAAGGATTCAATAAATGAGGTGAACGGAAGCCCAATCACAAAGCATAAAGGCTTCTTGGTTTTCAGGTTTGCGGATTATAACTGCACAGTTGAATACTACAGAGCCCCATTTCTAGTTGCCCAGGGAATTGCTCCACGAGGAGCTCCAAAATGTCTTAGAATGACTCTAAGACTAGATCGTATGACCTGGACTCACCAGCAGTGGGTTGATGCAGATGTGCTAGTTTTCAACAGTGGTCACTGGTGGAGTCAAGAAGACCACAAACCGGTAACTATCATTTATGATCTGGTTTATACACATTTAGATTTGTGCGTGGCTGATCAACTATGAGATCTAGTTGATCGTGCATGTTGAATCTATCAAATGATGTCCCTGATCTTTCAATTTATTTGTCAGTGGCCGTTATTTCCAAGAAGGAACAGAGGTGAACTTAAAGATGGACCTGGCAACGGCATTTTGGAAATCAATTGAAACATTACTTCACTCTGTTCATAGTCAAGTAAATACAAACAAGACTCGAGTTTTTTTCCGAACCTATGCTCCAACACATTTCAGGTTTTACCTCTTTGCCTTTTTTAAGTACTTTGTTTATTTATTCAGTTATTCTTCATCTTTCTACCACTGATGTAGAGTTCATTTTGATTTTTGATAGTTCCTATCCTTCCTACTCTAGTTTCAGCTTGGCTTTCAAACATGGAAGATCTTTTTCTGTTCTATGCATATTCTGGTAACAGCAAGATGGATATGAATATCAAGTATCATCGTCACTCATCATCTCTTTCCCTCTTAGAAAATATTACTATTGTTACTTCTTTTGAGCACAATACCTCATTTGATCTCTTAAAAATTCAAAAGAGATAAGGAATACAGTGAATAGAACTGACATTTTCATCTATAGCATGTTACTGCAGGCATAGGGTTCTGCTTTTAGATCTGGTGTTTCATGCTGCAACAGTTGATTAGATCCCAAAAGTTAAATGGAAAGTCAATAAAACAATAAACTCCACCAGAATAGAAGGACTTCAACTTTAAGCTAATATGTCAAGATGCAGTCGTCTCAAGTAACCTGAAACGTTGTTGATATTAGTGTGATATAGGGTCCTTGCTGACTAAGAGGTTGCAATAGGCTGAATGCTATTTTCAGGATTTTGGCCCGGTCACCATAGTTTGAATGTGTTCTGCTCACTTTATACATCTATGGGCATTAGTGTCACTATTCCTTCTGCATCAAACTTATCATATCATTAAAGGAAATGATTGACCATCGGTTTGATGTAACAGAGGTGGTGCCTGGAACAATGGTGGACATTGTCACCATATAAAGCTACCCGATTTTGGTCCATTTCCTGATAAAACTGAAAAACGCATTGAGATGGTATGCGATGTATTGTCAGAGCAGCCAGAGTGTTTACAGGTGATGGAAACGATGAATGTGACTCCCATGACATATCAAAGGCCAGATGGTCATACAACTTTGTATCATTTTGGGCGAGGAAACGAATCAAATCAGAACCTGCCAGCGAAGATTGTAACCACTGGTGCTTGCCTGGGGCCCCTGATTCATGGAATGAGCTTCTTTATGCACTTATCCTCGAGTGGGAGTCTGTTCGCCCCTCCACTCCGACTGTACGTTCCCAGGCTCCATTGTGATGCTATATCAAAGTTCCCTTAATATTATTGACATAATACGGAGGAGTTTAAGTGCACAAGGAAAATAGTCCATATTCCTGACAAATGTTAAGCCTGAGAATCTTGTACAACTGAAAAATGACATTTATGCAAATTCTTCCTCCCCAATTCCTGATTTGTTGGAATGTTTGTTGAAAATTGAAACCCTTTTGGCTTGGTCAACAGAAAGCTTATTCTCTTCTCACTCTTGGACACAGGAACTCGTACACAAGTATTGAATGGTTCATTGCAGTTTGTATAAGGAGATCGTGGTAAAGAAAGGATGAAATGGCAAAAAACAGGGGCACCCCTGCCCTTGGTATTGTCTCTCTTATAATTTCCAGTTTTCATGTATAGGGAAACTGCTGTGTTTCTACTATAATACTACAATTAGAATGTGATGCAAATCGTTAGGTTTGATGGGCTTTTTAAAAGTACATCAATTATTTTCCTGTGTTGGCATCCAACCATATGGTCTTATACCTGTTTGCATCACAATTGTTTATTTGTGTTATCTCGTTCAAACTTCAAATTCGTGTGCCAATAGTTAATGTTTTCCATTCAACATCAATAAATCAAACGATAAAAAAAAAGAAGCGTACTTGAACCTTTATCATGATTACAGAAAACCCACAATTTCTGTTGTCCCGAAGAACCAGAATTACATGAAAAAAAAAAAAAAAGTGAACAGCTGAACCACAAGTCCACAAGCGAAACAGGAATGATTACATAAAAATTGCTGAGGTTTCAGTGTTGCAAACACGTGCTAGAAAACAAACACTATTCCAGTCAGAAAGCTGTTTAATCAGCAAATGGATATTGCTCATACCTAATTGTACAATCATGAAGCACCGAGCGGGCCCCTATTCGACTTTGACAAGTTCCAAACATGGTTGTTTTAGCAGCATCCAAACAAGTTGCACAATCCGAGCTTGTGAGGTTTTGGTTACAAGCCGCATGACCATAGGCAAAAGCATTAGGATATGGGGAGATGTTGAAGTAATCGTAACCTTTGCGGGTAGGCGTGACAGTCTCCAATTTGTCAAGGACATAGGCCAAACTGATGGCAAAAGGATCGCCCTCGGAATAGACAACCGTGTTGCAGAGAACAGTTATGACGGTTGTATTTGGAACACTTCTGACATTACTGCATAATAAAAGGAATGCGATCGTAGCTGCTGCCAGTTTTGGAAGATAACCCATCTGACTCTTTCTTTTGCTTTTTTTTTTTTTCTTGCTTGCTTCAATTGTTTCTGATCTGACACGAGGCGTCCGATGACTTTAATTGGCTTTCTTTTGTCATTGGTTTCTCCATCCACACCAATGAATGGAGACATAAGACATTTTGTCCTTAGGTATTTGTACTTTTGGAATTGTCTTTTGACCATACGTTTCCTAGTTGGCATCCATTTTTTTTTTTTGACCTCAACAATGTTTTTAACACCTCAATAATTGTATTATAAATTTATCTTTAAATAAAATTATTTAAATATTTATTAATAAATTATTATTTTTCCTTCTTACACCATTTTTTCATCATTTTCTCTCCTTGTCTTCCTTACTCCTTTTTCTTTCTTCCTATCAACATGATCTCTTATCAAAATTCACAACAAAAAATTATAAAAGTATTTATAATATCTTATATATTATCAAAATGAAAAACATAAACAAAATAAAAATTTCAAAGATGATAATTGGGTAAGTTAATTTTATTCCTAAATTAGCACATTGCAAAAAATACGTTTCTAAAACATAATTTTAGTATCCGAAAATATATTTATAAAAATATCTATATGTGACTAGATATGAATTACTGAAAATAAATTTCAAGAAGAATCTTTATATTATCAGATATACATATCTGGGATTATTTTGTAATTTTTAAAAATTTATTTTCAAATATAATATGCAATGTATTAAAGATTAATTTTCGAAAATGTATGCAATGTATCAAAAATTCATTTTTGAAAATGTATGCAATGTACCAGAAATGTTATTTTCGAAAGTAATAATCTTAATTTTTTTTTTTTTACTTGCATGTAGAACAATTTGAGAATTGTACTAATAGAGTGAAATAAATCATCACAGAATTTGGATATAAATATGATTGCAGTTCTTCATTTACTACTGAAAAGGGAAGAGTATGTTTTTGAAGTAAACTTTAAAAAGCATAAAGATTGTGTTTTTAATGTTAGTTTATATAGATGTAAAATGTAACAATTTAAATTGTTGTGCATGTGTTTTCTAGTAGGGAAGTATTGATTTCTTGGGCAAAACAAGTGGGAAAAGATATTGGTTTTGTAGTTGTGATTAAAAACTTTAATTTGAGAGGTTTAAGTAGAAAACCTAGAATCAGATTGGTATGTGAACGTAGTGAAAAATATATGTAGCAAAAATAATAAGGTAAATGTAAAAGAAATGCAGCATAAGAGAAGAGGAATAAAAAAGTGTGATTGTCTATTTCAATTATATGGGTTTAAATTTGCAAGTGATGATGAACAGGGTGTAAAGGTAGTCTATAGGTTTTACAATCATCTAACAACAAAATAATTAGATGGACATTCATTTGTAGGTCAATTATTTGACGAAGAAAAAACAATAATGGCACATATGTTAAATAATATGGTTAGACCTAAAAGCATACTGTTAACCCTAAAATAATATAATGAGAATAATGTGAGCACTATAAAGACTATATACAATGAACATTAGAGATATAAATATGTTGAAAAAGCTGGTGGATCACAAATGTAACAACTTATGAAAAATTATTTGATTGTAAATACATGGAGTGGCATAAGACTAACGAGTCAAACTACTATGTGAGAGATTTGTTTTGGGCTCATCTTATTGGTATAGATTTGTTGCATGCTTTTTCAAGTACCTTAATTATGGATTGCACCTATAAAACAAACAAATATTGTCTTCTTTTGCTTGAGATTATTGGTATGACTTTAACTGAGATGACATTTTTTTATTCCATTTGTGTATATAAAGGTCGAACGCTATGACGACTATAGTTGCGCATTGTTTATGTTAAAAAATTAGATGTTTTTTGGTACATTTTCTAATGTTATTGTTATTGATAGGGATTTGGCATTGATGAATGTAATACAGGCTATGTTTTCTAGCATAACAAATCTTCTGTGCAAATTGCATATTGTAAGAAATGTGCTTACAAATTATAAGAAGTTTTTTGAGCTGAAGGAGAAGTGGAAGGCATTTATGTTAGGTTAAAGTGTCCTTGTATTCTATTCTACCTATGATGAGTATGAAAGGCATCTAAGTTCATCGAAAATTGATTACTAGACTTATCTAGATGCAATCAAGTATGTGAAAGAATAATGATTGACAAAACTTAAGGAGAGATTTGTTACTGCTTAAGTAATGTACTTTGAAAATGTTACAATAAATGGGTATGCTTTCATTTATTTTTTTATTAATATTATTTAGATTTGCATAATTCATAACAAAACAATTAATCTATTATACATTTATTAATTTGTTGAGGGTTGAGAGTGTGTACATATAAAATTGAAGAGACATTTTGGATCATCTTTAAGAGATTTTGAATCATTATGAAGTACAATTAATGCCTTTATTGAGTTGTAACGTACAGAGATAAATGCTTCATTTGAGAGAAGTCTTATTGTTGTCGAGCATACTTGTAAACCTTCATTGTTTAAAAAATTATGAGGTTTGGTATCTAGGATTTCATTCAACATGATATTCATGCAATCAAAACAAGCCAATCAAGTTGGAATTAACAAGCAATGTTGTGGTTGTATTGTCATAAGCATACATGGATTACCTTGTGCATGCAAAGGGTGAGAAGTCTAATTTCTTTATTTGAAGTGCATCATCATTGAAAGAAGTTAGATTTAATGTAGAGCCAAATGGATGACATATCTGAAAAATTAAACATTGCATTTGACGTTAAACGAATCATAAAATGCTCCAATGATTGTGATGATTTCAATAAATTAGCTATGAAAAGAAAATTGTGAGAATTAGGTGATCTATCAACAATTGCTTTGTTTCCATCACTAGAGATTATTAAGACAAAAGGTCACACAACTATTAAAGCAGATAAATCTATGCAACATGACTTGTCACATTAGGAGATATTTGTATAGGATAGTACATCATAACCAACCACTATGAATTCAGTGAAAGTGACGACACAAATCGATATACTTTCTATTTAGTGTTCTCATGGCAAATAAAAAATGTGATATTTATCTAGTTTTCTAGTAAGGTTACATCCATATATACAAACCATCATTTTATGTTGATGTAGTGGATATTATGGTTTTGGTTTTGATGTTGGATTGTTTGGATTGGATATAGATGGTTGGGTACAAGTATGACAAGATTTAATTAATGAGCTAATTCGATATCTTAGCGAATATGTCACATTATATGAATCTATGTGATATGTTGAAGAATTAGTAGAAACCTTATATATTTCGACACTTGTTTCTTATATGAAAAGTGGATGACATTACCTAATATTAATCATTTGATTGTTTCTAGATATAATGTTATACTAGTCTATATCAGTTTGAGCAATGCTTAACCTATCTCTTTATTAGCTTTGTACTGCTTATACCATTGGAGCATAGAGTCATTACGATTAGATTTGTAAATAATTATCATTTAGTACAGGTACTGTTAGTTAGATTTGATATTTATCATTTTATTATTTATAATCACATTATAATTGATAGTTATCATATTTATCTATTTTGTGCAGGTGTTCATGAAGCTGTTCTCACCAATACCTCCAATTTCATGCAATTGGCATAGAATTCGATATAAATATTCTTAAGGATGAGAGGTTTCATATTTATTGCATATAAAGGATTTCAAGTTAGTGTTTAGCAAAAACTCTGATGTGGCCACCCAAGAAACTATTAAAATAGATTGATGAGTTTAGATGGACATATTTCATTTATTAATATGTTTTATTTGATGGTTTATATTTTTATATTTAGCAGGTTGGAGGAATGGTTTGTATGTAATCTAATTGGCGTATAATCCCCTTCAAGTGATATAGCTCAACAATAGCCCGCACTTTATACACCCAGAAAAATAAGCAATTTTTGGTAATGAGTGATGCTATTATTGTGTTTCATAAGGGCTCTAACACAACCAAGCTAAGGGCAAGGCATTCGACTGCTTTCATAGTTGCTGTAATGAATCAGTATACATACCAAGCTTCCATCATCGAGCATGAGGCTTATGATCAAAATACCCCATATTGCCTACTAGACAAAGCATTGAAAAATGCTCATAAATCTATGCCTGCATTTACATTAAACAAACATAAATTACATGTTATATAAAATCAAATAAAAAAATAAAACTAATTTATAAATCATTAAATTAATGTAATATATTTACCTAAAGAAGCGTAATATACCAAAAATTTGATGAACTTAAGCTCTGCTCGTTGTACTAAGTGATCTGTGTAAATATATCAGGTAAATTGTCCCCAAACATATGTACTAATGGTGCTTAAGTCGCTTAATAGTTGTAAGTACGCAACCAATACTTTATCTCCATTTTTTGTTAACAAATAATGTGCACCTTAAGAGATGGAGCAAAAAAGCTCTGGTGTCACACCTCACATCTCGATTAGAAGCATTATCAATAACATCTTTAAATGTATCCAACAACCATTATAGCCTAACAGATGCATCATGAGAAATTCTAGTCTCATTGGCTACCATAGCCTCTAATATTTCGAGCAACCTCACCAACAACACTTTCGCTTTATTCATCATCAACTTTTGAATTGATATCATAGTCCCCTAATGGGTATAGGGAGAATCGTGTAAACATCATCCAATGTGATTGTCATATCACCGAATGGTAAGTGAAAGGTATTTGTGTCAGGTTGCCTACCAACTTTTAACAAATGCTGAAACTATTGTATTGTTGAATAAACGATAAGTGTAATCAATTAATGGCAACAATCTTGACCAAACAACGTTCACACAAATATGCTACCCAAAAATATCTAGATGCCAGTGTTGTAACTTTGCCCTATGGTTGATTACTTTTAAGGTACTTTGCTTTTATAATAATGACAACAAATAGAAATTAATTATTAACTTTACATATATTAAGTAACAAAAATAAGCATCAGTCTTATTGAATTTATTATTTGTCATTCCATATTTGTGCTACAATATGAGTGTTGAAGCTTTGAAGTAAAGAAGTATCCATAAACTTTCCAAGAAATGGCTCTAAGGGATGAACAACTAGATTTACGAGATAAAAATTTGGTTATATTGCGAGATAAACATTAGGTTGCCCTACCGAATCAATAATTGGCTTGTATGCATGTTCATCAACTCATCATCTCTTTTAGAGGCAGTTGGACGCCTTCGAGTATTGGCTGCAGCACGTCCACCACTTTGACATACGTAATTCTTTTTGTTCGTAACATATTTATTTTTACATATATTAGATGGTTAATACATTAGCTGTCTAAGCAAATATACAAGACTCAATGCATGCATAATGATATAGGTATGGAATATGAAACTTATTGTGAGATTTTTAGGCTTCCAGATATAGGGTGTCAAAATTTGTAAAAAATTTTATACATACATTTTTGAAACTTTTAAAGGTTTTCGGATATGCATTTTTAGAAACTCTAAAAGGATTCTGAACATACATTGTTGGAAACTTTTAGAAACTTTTAGATATGCATATTCGAAAACCTTTAAAAGTTTCTAAAAATAAATATCTGAAAACTTTTCAAAGTTTTCAAAAATACATTTTTGGGAATTCTTCTAATATTTTGGAATGCATTTCTAAAAACTTAGAAGAATTTTCAAAAATTCATTTCCGAAACCTACGAATCATAACACCAAAATTTTTTGAAATTCAACATAAAATCAAATGAACTTAACATAAAAACACATCAAGAAAATGGGGATTTAGTGTCATTTTTTTAGTGGTGTTTTCAAACAAGTGTTGCTAATAGCCATATCTTTATAAACTTAGTAGTGTTGTTTGTCTAAATGTCACTAAATAAATATTTAGTAGCATTTTGAGTAAAAATACCACTTAACTTTAAAATTTAGCGGTGGTTGCAGTTAAAAATGCCATTAAACCTTCAAATTTAATGGTATTTATACAATGAAATGCTGTTAAATTATTATAAAAATTTATTATTTTCGAAATATTAATTTTTTCGCTTATTAGCGATGTTTGGAGTTGTAAATGCCACTGATATTTAAAATTTAATGGCATTTATATATAAAACATCTAAATTTAATGGTATTTATATATAAAACATCGCAAAATGACTACTAAAAATAATTAGAATTTAGAAAATAAAATTTTCTAATAGTTAAAAAAAATGGAAACACAATGTTTGTGTCAAATAGAGCTGTTTTTTTTAATAAACGCTTCAATTTTGCAAGAATTAGTAGCTTTTGTTAGAACAAACGTCGCTAATTAATCATCAAAATTTTGAAATTGACCCAGCCCCTTTCATTTCTGCCGAAAGCTGTAAGTTTTTCCTTTATTTTCTTTTGATTTTTTAGTTTGAAACAACAGATTTTCACTATTTTTCTGTTCCTTTTCCTTTCCTTTTTTTTTTTTTTTTTTTCTATAAGATTCCTCATCTGCTCACGACAATGGGTGTCATTCTGACACAGATGAAAGATTCCTCATCTGCTCATGACCCTCTTTTCCCATGGCTCCTATATTCTTTTCTCTTTTGTTTTTTAAAAATTTAGGTTTCTCTGAATTGTTTGCTATGAATTCATTTTTTTCCTAACTAATTGCAAATCCATGTTGAAAGAAAGAGTTTTTGGGTAATGAGTTGGTATTTGGAGACATAGTTTAGAATAAGAAGAAAGAGAAAGGTAAAGTTAGTTGGGTTTGTGAGAATTGTGGGTATTGAGATGGTTTGTGGTCATTTTAGGACGATGAAGAGGTTTTCAGAAGTGGAAACTAAGAACACAGGGTTGGAATTTTCAAAAATTATGGTGCGGTCTTGGCTACCAAAGGATGCAGGGGATGTGGAACCAGTTAGATTGGTTGATGTTGAGTGTGGGATTAAGAAGATGGATTACCAAATTCCAGTATAAGTTCTTTTTTCTTTTTTTTTTTTTCAACTTAAAGGATTTGAAAACATTGTACTTAGTTATATATGAATATATGTTTTTGTTTGGCATGCTTTATATTTAGGTTTGGACCCTTTGGAAATTAAGTTGCTAGGGTGCTTGGTGGTGGTCTTGTTTCAGGTTTGGACCCTATTCATAATCTTTCTGTTGTTTAGTTTTGGCATTATTACTTCTAAAAACTTTGAAGAAAAGAAAGAAAACATGATAATGTGATCTAAATGTATCTTAAATAATTGCTTAAAGTTGAAATTTTGAGTTCATAATGGAATCTTATTTTATGTGTGTATACTTTTTTCTGTTTACAGGTTCATTGGTTTTTTTAGTGGTGATCCTGGTGTTGGAAAGAGTACTATACTTTTATAGGTACAAGTTTGTAGCATTTGAAGGTGTTCATGCTTCTTTTGTTATCTTGTTCTAGATTGTTTTTTGTTTGAAAAGGAAACTCTTCTATCATAAACTTATATTGACGTTCTTTTATTGGAAATAGCTATCTTATTGTAATGTTAAGTTCACTTCTTACTTGAAAGATGGCTGTGCTAATTGTTGAAGGGCATGACTTAGATCAACTTGTTTCAATTGTATATGTCTCTGGCGAATAGTTTAGTTTTTATGTAGTGTCAGATTGATCTATCAATATCATTATGCTCAACTGTTCATACTTTACTAGGTTATAATTTGCATGCATAGATAAGTCATTTACCTTGGCATTATAATAACACTGCCTATTTTACCATGAATATACCAGCATTAATTTGAGTTAAATTCATTTCTGCCTTTGTCATGGCAGAGTGTTGAACAAATTAGCACAGAGCTGACTGTATGAAGATTGGAGCCACTAATCTTTACCTATACTCTATACTGATATTGAGGTAAATAATTCTAAAAAAATGCTTATAATTGAAAAATCTTTTCACAAAATATGATGTGAGAGAGTTTGCTTATATTTGTTGCATGTTTCTCTACTTTTTAGTCATATTCATAGTTAGTCTTCTTCCAGCCTTCTGACATTTATTTTAGGGATGCCAAATGAGTAAGAAAGTTTACCCTGGAAAAGTGGCCTTTTCTTCTTTGAAGAACTCGTCAAGGAAGTCTAACTTTGTTTTCTTGTCTTCTTTGATGTTGAGAAACTTGTGCTTTTCACTTATGAAGAGATTCTATGTATTTTGCACTGCTTTGTGCCCATGTTTGTTGAATTCTACTCTAGAATTTAGAGTGCAAAACTTGAATAATAAACAACCATTAAGTTTTTTTTTTTATTTGATTCTTTTAGGAAGTTGCTATCAAAAGAATGACTGCAACATATTCAAAGGAATTTATGGAAAAGATGAAAGTCTTGTGTAAGTTTCATCATGCAAATCTGGTAATGCTTTCTGTATGATAAGCTTGCTTTCTATATGATTGGCTATGTTGCAAGCGATAATAAGCTATTTCTTATTTATGAACATGCTCAAAAAATCTCTCTTAGACGCCATTTACATGATCCGCAGAACAAAGGTAAGATTCTAGCAGTGCTTTCTTAAGTTTTTACAATTTTTATTTAATTTTAAGAATGAATTTCTTGAGTTTTTATATCATTGTTTTTAAAAAATTAATTGATAGCATTACATAGATTAAAAAAACTTTTAAAATTCTTGGAGGGCCATGGCCCCTTCATTCCCTTATACGGCATCACCACTAAATGTATAATCCACCTTTTTGGATGTTATCTTTTGCACGTCATAATCTGTTTGATAGATTGAATTTTGTCATTTGGTATAAAATCCTCATGTTTGGACAATTTTAGGCATTATTGCTGATTTTTTATCTTGATGTTTCTTAAAGTTATTTGCATAAGCTCATGGTAGCTAATAAGGTAATCAGGATGTTTCGAAGTGCCTTACACTTGTTGCTGTCTGGAATTGCTGTTGATAAAAAATGAACTATCTACTTTTTTGTTCTTTGACCTTTTCCCTTCATATTTCACTGTTTTTATACCTCTATGCAATTACTTTGTCTTTTTTTTTTCTTTTTATTTGGATGATGGCACATTTATTTAAGATAAAGCTAGATAACCTAGTCCACTGTGTGCAATTTATGTTACAGATGTGTCATAAACATAGAGTCATGCGTTGTAATCTCAAACCAGAGAATTTTCTATCTGCTAATAAAAAGGAAACTTCCCCATTGAAGGTAATTGATTTTGGGTTGTTTGTCTTCTTTAAACTTGGTATTGCATATTAACTATTGACTATTTGAGCTATATAAGTGTATTTCCCCTTTTCTATCTTTGGAAGTTAAATTTAGACTGTTTTGATTATCTTTTTTTCTATATTATGCTCAAATAGCTGAAGTTTGCTTTAAGAGTGCTTTTTTTAAATAGGTTCTTATGAATCAGAGGTTGATGTTCGGAGTGATGCAGTTATCCTCTATATTTTACTTTGTGGTGTCCTACCATTATGGGCAAGTTGGTCTTTCACTTAACGAAGTATTTGCTTTTGTTCATTTGACTTTATGGAGGTTAGAGCTCAAGACAGCTATAGAGGCAGTGTGTGCTTTTAGAGCCTGTGGGCAAAAGATAAGAGAGATATCATGATAAGGTTTTCTTTTCAAACTCTTCAATATTATGTGATCAAGAGTTTGATGTATTCTTTTGCTTACATTTTCCCTATCTACTCTTATGTTTTTAGAAAAATAGATATAAATAATATTTGTTGTGTTTTCATGTAGAGATGTAAATAATATTATTGTATTTATAATATTTAGTTTATGAAATTCATTTTTATTTTTTTCAATATTTTTTATTTAATTATAGTAATAAATATTGAAAGAAATATAAAAAAGTAAAATTTTCAATTTAGCATCGTTCGTGTTAAAAAACGCTGCTAAATTATTGAAATTAGCAGCATTTTTGGACATAAATGTTGTTAAATTTAGTGAAATTTATCGATATAAACGTCGCTAATTTGTGTATTTTCGTGGTATTTGTGTTTAGAAATATTGCTAAATTTAGTGATATTTTTTGGTACAAATACTGTTAATTTTTGTAATTTAGCGGCGCTTTTATACTTCAATGTCGCTAAATTTAGCAATGTTTTTCATATAAACGTCGTTAAGTTAGCAATATTTTTTTTTCATAAATTGTCATTATTTTTTAATGCAAGTTTAGTGGATATTTTTAATGACATTTTTTACGAACATCATGAATCATTTAATGTAGTTTATAAATATCGTTAAATGTGAAAAAAAATGTCATTAAAAGCTTATTCCGTTGAAGTGAAACAAACGAATTACCTCAAGTTGAAAGCTTTATAACTTAATTTTTCTTGATTTTCTTTGAATTTAGGTTGATTTTTTTTTTTTTTTTGAGAGAATTGGGAGGGGTGTAAGGGAGAGGGAGGATGGGGGTGAGTGTGTTTATTGAAAATTGAATTTAAAGTGTAGGGTGTAGTGAGTAAAAATGAGAAATTTTAAGAAATGAAACGTTAAAAGAAACTGTTAAGGTATGAATAAAACCCTTTTTTTTTTTTTTTGACTCATTGCTTATTTTACTATCAGAGAGCACTGAGCCTCCGAGGCTCGTTTCTCTCTAGAAAAAGATACGCATAGCTGTTATGAAAGACCCAATTTGGGTTGCTGTTCTGAAATCTGAACTCTGAAGTGAAAGACTCTTTCAATATTCTAGAAGCTGCCCCTTTTTTTTTTTGCCCTTTTTCTTTCAGAAGCTTCCATCTGGATTGATGCTTTTTATCTCTTAGAAACAAGTAGCAGGATATACTAATTTAAACAAAGATCAGTTCAAGCATTGGCACCAACTAATCGGCTCTTCGGCCCAAATGGAGTTAATATTATAACGGGCCACGGCAGGCACGGACGCAAGGTTTTCCCAAAAGAACTTTGCCCTGATAAAAGCTGATTAAATTTGTTCAAAACATAAATTGTGGTGAGATCCGATTCACATTTATATTCATATTCAGTCGATTATGATTGGTTTAATTAATATGACTACAAATACATTGTAAATGGATTTATTAGTTACTACAAAAATAAAGCTAGTAAGCTCATTTATAAGTCAAATGCCCGGTGTATATATAAACTCCTCCATTAATTGTTTACAAAAGCATTTTTCCCCACCCCCAATATCGTAATTATCATCTAATCTAATTTTACTAAGTAGAGAAATTATTAATTCAGATAACATGTATATTAATTAGATTCCAAGAGATTATGGTTTAAAAAAACTTAAATGTATAATATATATTTTTAAATGAGTTAAGTATATAGGGATCGAAGAAAATGATAAATTAAAAATTATAAAAAAAGATATATAATTTTTTTCCAAGAAATAATCTCTATTTGTTTTATTGGGAATTAAGTTCAAAATTCATGCATAGCCAGCCAAAAACTTTGGCATATATCATTATATGTAGTAAATATATGTAGAGATATCAATTTTATCCATATTCAATGGGAAATATGATTTTCTACTTAAATGGGGATGAAAATGATATTACATTGTGGGTATGGAGATAGAGATAGATATTACGTTGTTAGTATGAAGATAAAGATGTGTATGATTTTAAATTTTTATTAGGTATATAGATGAAGACATGTAATATAACACTGATTTCGTACACATATCTTACATATATATTTATATATATTTAGCAAAAATTTTTTTTATTAAATAATATAAATTATTATTTTAGATTAATTAGAATTAATAATTTCTTATTGAAAGAATATATATTAATATATATTTATAAAAAATTACTTAAATATAAAAGATACAAATAAAAAAAAAAGTTAAATTTTTTTTAAATTTTTTTTCAAAAGTTATGAGTACAGATATTATACATACTCATTAAATATCATTGTGGATAGAGATAAATTTAAAATTCTTGTTGGGTATAGATGGATATAATATAAATCCGGAGATAAAAATGTGGAATGCTCTATCCTCTCCGTAACTTACTCATTAACATCCTTAAATTACTCGTTAACATCCCTAAATATATGCACATAGCTTAAAATAATTTTATGATAAACTAATATTTTTATGGAAACCTCCAAGTTTTCCAAGTTCTTCCACTTCTTTGGCCAATTCTTCCATTTTTTCTACCATCTCCGTCAACGCATATACGAAGCTTGCTAATCCAAGCCTATCAATATTCTCCAAATTAGTTCCGAATGTGGAAGGAGTCAGAATGAGACTTAGCTCTAGCCTTACTGAATTCAATTTTGGCACAATCGTTTCTTCAGATCGACATTGTATCATCTTTCCGATGCTTTCTCCAAGTTCTTTTAGCGTCCATGCAAGTGATGCCATAATTGCTTCATATGGTTCTATAACTGATTGTTGAAGAGTTTCTGATGCCTGATGACAAATTTGAAATGAATTAAGCAAAGAATTTGTTAAAAAGTTTCCCTAAGACTAAGAATCATTGCGAAAAGCCTTAATTCATTCAATATTTGATGAAAATTTTGTACCTGGGTAGGTGATCTAAGGCGACCTCTAAGTGAAAGGATGGTTGTAGCCAAATCTCTTAGGTCCTCTCCTATTTTTAGGTATTTTCCCCATGGGTAGGAAAACCCAAATTTTCCATGCCATGGTTCCCATCTTGCAAAATTTACCTGTACAAAATTTCCATTAACTGTTTATCAAAAAAGAATTGGGCTATATACCAATGGATGATCATAAAGTTCTTTTGAGAATGTATTGAATAGTGAGTTTTATAACAACAGAAAGAAAGAAATAATATACCAATGATTCATCCTTTGTCTTCGACTGCAATACTAATTTACAATTACTACTGAAATTACCACAAAACTTTTTTTCCTTCTCCTTGACATTTACGAAGTATTCCTTGGAGAATCCTACAGTCAATGAAACATATAACATGAAAAATTTATGGTTAGAAACTTAGAAAAAGTAAATAGATTTTTTAGCCATGATTCATAAATATTAAAACCATAAAATTACATATTTAAAGTGTTATTATATTACATCTATTAAATATTAAATTTTTTGTGGTGTTATATTTCAATTGTACTCTTTCATTTATAATCAATTAATTTTATATTAAATATTTAATATAATATTAAAAAGCAAGTTTTGTTATATGGTTATTTGTGATTCTTATCTTATACCCCTTATGAGTACATTATATTTATATTTATACGTGATGAAGGTTTATTTATTTATTTATTTTTTTTTGAGTTTATCACATGTAATTATATTTTTAATGTGATAAAAGTTTGTTTAAATAATATTGTCCAACATCTATTAAATATTAACATTTTTATGACATTATTTTTAAGTTGATATTTTTTCTTGCATAACTAATTAATTTTAAATTAAATATTCATGCATTTCCAACCATTTTTGTACTTTATGAAATACGTCCAGAGATAATAAGGCCCGAAACTAGGTGCGGTCCACCCAAGCAATCTGGGATTTACCCTGCGTAGCCTTAATTAGTTGTAAAGTTCCATCTACCCTAAGCTTGGGCTCCCACCAAGGAAAAGGACAAAAAAATGTAGACCCAAAGATTAATTATATATAGATATAAATTTTTTTAATAATATTTAGGTAAAGTACTATGATTGTACAGTTAAAAGAATTTAAATATTATACCTTCCAGAAAGCAAGCAAGGTCTTCAAATCTTGAGACTAAAGAGTCATGAAGTTCATCACTAGCCCAAATGGGAAAGACGAGCAAACTTATAAAAGTGCAGATAGCGAAGCCCATGACAATGGCTGAGAGACGCTGACGGGCTAATTCCAGGACTTGTTCTGCGCGTAAACCAGACACTACGACCAGATTGAAAGTGAGAATGAATATTAGTGCTCCGTACTCGTATTTTTTCTTAATGTTAGGCACCTGTCGAGTGTACGTTGCGGCCGTACCTGAAAAAGATTTAATGACCCCATTCTCATGCTTTTAAAATTAAAAATCATGAGAATGACTTTAATCAAGTTTAAATTACAATAATTAATAACACTTGATGGCACTACTTAATGATTGGTTCTTTACAATTAAACATGGACCCACTTCAGTGCGCTTTACTGGAATATAAGCACTCTGCTTTTTGGCATTATTATGGTGTAAGGGAAAATAACTTTATTTATACTTTATATCTGTTGGTTTTAATATCCCTTATTTTAAAAAATTGAATATAAAATTTATTGGTATTGAAAATTTTATATTTTATTCATTCTTTTTTATTTAAAATTGATAAAAGTTAAAATTTGATTATTAAAAATAAAATTTTAATATTTTATCGATAAATCATACCGACAATCACATAAGACAGTCACATAATTATGTTTTTTTATATGAATGAAATTATAACTTAAAAAAGAAAATACATGGATTGAAATTTTAATATAAAAAATTATTAAATATCATTTTTTAAAAAATAATTATATAAATTACCTAAACTAAACCTCTCACAAACATAAATATGTTGTTTTGCTATTGCTAGAATATGACATGTGTTTAATTATATTTATATCCATCTCCTTATCTAGTGAAACTTTGACATTGGGCGGAAAGAAGAGGCTTTTAGCTAGCGCCGCAGTCTTACCAAATATGAAGACAGCAATAGCAACAACTATAGCTTTGCCAACCCCACCGACCGCTTGAGCGAAAGATGCAGCTAAACAACCCAATCCACCTCCTAGTACAGTCCCAATTCCACGATTTAAGCCCTTGCTTAATGTAGCGCCTGGCAGGTATGATTATTACCAAATAATATGAAACACAAAAGTGAGCAAAACAATGTAAAATCTTGTCATAATTCTTGGAAAAACAGAGATCAACTACATACTAAGCAAGCATATATACACAAACCTGCAAAGAACTCGAAGATAACCACCACAGTAAATATCGCCCACATGGCATTTTCTCCAAAATGCTCATAGAGAGGATCGAGTATATAGAGAAGAGACACTAAAACGAGAGCAACACCAACCTTGATACTATGAATCACTTTTCTAATGCCATGCCTATTCCTTTTCTTTTCTCTAAGAAATGAAATAATGGGTAGACAAGAAATATCGAATTTTTCCTTTTCTAATTTGCTGGGAGCAACCCCTTCTGATCCATCTGGAATAACTATAACAGTCGAGCCCATTGGCAAAAAAATAAAATAAAATAAAATACTACTCCCTCTTACTCTTTTTAGGATTGATCTTTGTTTTCCTTTTTTCTTTGTTGAATTTCACTTGCTAGTTAAAGGGTTTGGGTGGGGATTATATATATAGCCGTATAGCCTAAAGAAATGAAGCGTGAAAATTAAATGTTTGCATGTTGTAGCGGATCTCTACATCGATTGTTTTATGAATTTAGTGCCCTAGTCATATGGCTTTAGTGGAACACATCGCTCGGCACGACACACCTTTGGATGTCGAGAAAGATATTTTCACAACACCTCATCAAATTGCCATGGCCACCATTTGACCATACACATTGGTCAGCTCGCCACGATACACCTTTGGATGTCGAGAAAGATATTTTCACAACACCTCATCAAATTGCCATGGCCCCCATTTGACCATACACAATGGTCAAGTTGTTTAAGTGGAGCTGTAGTCGTTGTTATTGTTGTTGTATTTTTCTTTTTGTGCCATAGAAAAGAAAGGAGTTGTAGTTGTTTAATAATTAATAATTTATTGTATATACATGGGTAAATATAAATGAAGCATGAACTATATTAAAGCTTTTGATGTAGAGCAAGGATGCCCTTTCACTATCAAATGGACTGATGTCACTGTTTAACTTAGATTTTTTTGATTTTTTATTCCAATTTAGTTTAGATTTTAATATAGATTAGATTTCAAACCTGCTTTTTGCTTGCGAGAGTAAAAAAATAGTTGTATATTAATTTAAACATTAAAAAAATATAATCTTTAAAAAGTTGAAGAGAAAATTTTAACTTGAAGGAATTGAAAATGATTATATACAATTTGAATTGTATTGGTTGATAGAAAATACTTGACGAAGAGGTGACAAGACTTGGCTAGGTGTGAAAAGAGAAATCAAAGTAATTATTATCTTCCTGTTTAACGTTTTGATGGTTATTTCCAAGAATTGGATTTAAAGTCTATAAATATTCAACAAAAATAAAAAAAAGTCCTTAGTAAATGTTTAGTACCAACATGAAATTTTGTAAATACAAAATATGTAGATACATACATCTTTTAGATTAGGATATCTAGAAACATACATTACTAAAAATTAAGACACGGTAAGTATATAAAATATTAAAAGGGAAAGCAAGGAAGCAAGAAAGTAAAAGATGTTTGTAAGGCACATAAGGTTTAATAAGGTAAAACATGTTCATTCTTGCCTTGTTCACTTTAGAAAAACACCATTGAAAATCTACATTCGTTAAGAGTAAACATAACAATTTAGATTCAAATTTTAATTTTTTATTAGAAAAATATTAAATACTTTTCAATACATTCACAACCACCATTTGCTTACTGTGTTAGGAAGAAAGACCCAAAGTTATCATGACAATGTAACATCATACCAAAACGTTCAAGTTTGACAATAAGTTCATAATAACTAAAAATTTATCACAGTAACTTTCAATTTTAAATTACACTATCAAAATGACAAATGTTTCAAAGTTTTAACAATTTCAAACTGCACAAACAATACACTGTAATTGAATTTTTGATAAATATCTCAAACACCAACACATTAATACCAACATTAAAATATAAAAAAAGCAAGGTTATTTCAACAAGATATCTTAACACACATCTAACCCCTTCAAAAGAAATTCACTTCATGCACGTACACGACATACACACAAGAAAAAGTGGGGAATTGATTCTCATAAACCATATTCTTCTTAGTTTTGGAAAAGTATCGGTAAGTTACCTGTCTCAATCGTAAGAGTTGTAAGATCTTTTTTATCATTGGATAAAATGGCATTGATACTGAAAACAAACATTCACAACATGTTATTATTTAAAATTTAGAATCATAAACCAATAAAATGTCACAATAAACACATACCCATGGATTCAAATGATAAATGAAAAGCTTAGCTTCTGGATCGACATAGAATCCTCCTTTCAACTTTGCCTCTCGCTTCAATTGAATCAACTCTTTTTCTTGACAGTTATAGATCACATAATACAACTTAAGTGCTTTTAAGATTTGATAAAAACAAATTTATATAAATACAAATAGAAAGAAACCAATGATTGTATGTTAATTTATTGGGGGCTTGTCATTCTTAAAGTGGATATTAGCATTGTCTAGAATTTGTAACTCTAGTATTAAGAAGCACCACTGACTCAAAAAAGAAACTAATGATTGTATGACTATTAATTTCTATAATAAAACTTTACCATGGACACATTTCAAGAACTTATAAGAGAATTTGAAATTAAAAATGTAGATTAAACTTTTTGATCACTCTTATCTTCTTATTATTCACATGGCTACTGCATTTCATAATGGCAGTATAGTTACTTTGACTACAATGCAGATGACAACATGTTTCATCATTTCAAATTAATTAGAGAAACATCAATTATATCAATGCAGTCAAGGAAGCAACTTTATGCACTTAAAGATTTTTCCATTCCAAGCACATTTAAAGCCATATTAAATGGGTATGATATGATAAAAACCAAAATAAAAAAATCGCTGGACTGCCAGTGTCCATGCAGCTTAAGTGTGTGTTAGTCGTTGTATTTTAGAAACGAATACATCGATCAGCTGTACCACCTTTAGAAGCAAGCAGCCTATGCAGATGTGGAGACCATGCAATTGCTTTTACAGCAGCAGTATGCTCACAGTATTTCAGGATAGGTTGAGTGGAATGTTGATTCCAAATAAAAAGCAACATATGGATGAGAGATTTGCCATTCAATCAGTTGACTGTACGTCTGTTAATTTCTTGGGGGCCTGTCATTCATAAAGTGGCCATTAGCACCGTCTCGAATTTGTAACTCAGTATTAAGAAGAACCACTGACGCACAAAAGAAACCAGTGATTGTATGTCTATTAATTTCTATAATAAAAGTTTACCATGGACACATTTCAAGAACTTACAGGAGAACTTGAAATTAAAAATGTAGATCAAACTTTTTGATCACTCTTATCTTGTTACTATTGACATGGCTACTGTGTTTCAGATTGGCAGTAGAGTTATTTTGAATACAATGCAGCTGACAGCATGTTTCATCATTTCAAACTAATTGGAGAAACATAAATTATATCAATGCAGTCAGGGAAGCAACTTTATGCACTAAAAGGTTTTTCCATTCTATGTACATTTAAGGCCATATTAAAGGATATGATGTGATAAAAACCAAAATAAAAAAATCACCTGACTGCTAGTGTCCATGTAGCTCAAGTGCGTGTTAGAGGCTGTATTCAAAAAATGAATGCATCGATTTCTGTACCACCTCCAGAAGCAAGAAACCCCTAAAATGAGACCATACAATTGCTTTTATAGCAATAGTATGCTCACAGTATTTCAGGACAGGTTGAGTGGAATGTTGATTCCAAACAAAAAGCTGCATATGGATGAGAGTTTTGCCATTCAATTAGTTGATTGTATGTTTGTTAATTTCTTGGGGGCTTTTCATTCATAAAGTAGACATTAACACTGTATAGAATTTGTAACTCTAGTATTAAGAACACCATTGACGCAAAAAAGAAACCTGTGACTGCATGTTTGTTAACTTCTATAATAAAACTAAAAATTAAATTCAAAATTAAAATTTAATTTAAAAAAAATCAAAATTAAAATCAAAATAAAAAATTCCTCGATAAAATGAGGAGTCTATAATACTTTTTACAATTTTTTTTTTCTTATCCCATGAAAGTATGTAAAAAATGTCACATAGCATATATGGAGTACATATGTTTTGCGTCTATATATGATCTGGAAGCACATTAATTAATTTAACTCGTAGAACAGGGGCTGGCTAAAATCGTACGAAGTAGAAATGTAGGTCGTAGGAGCAAGGGCTCAAAGTTCATGAGAACCATTTCAACAGGGTTTCAGATAATTCCACTCCACTATGAAAGAGTGCCATTTATCAATATCGCCATTAGATGAGTCCACAACCCCCACATACATACACCATAATTTTCAGAAGCAAGCCTTTTGTCATCCTAATGGTTACAAGGAGAAGTTGCAATGTCATGTCATGCCGGAGTAATTCGATATCTGAGTCCTTTTTCAGGACACTTCCTCTTTGTCGCATGATTTTCTATGTAATATAAAATTTGTGCGCTGCTCGCTAGTATATTTTTGCAAAGATAAAGACTATAAGATATTTTGATGCTATGGAATTGTAAATTTAAGATAAAATTAATCTTGCAATTTTTATTTTGGAAATTAAACTGAGAATATTATTAATAGAAAAGCATTACAAAGCTATAACCAAGCTATTAAATTAGAATTTCTATGAACTCTTAACAATAGAGAAGGTAAAATGATTGGCTTCCATGAACGAAAAAAATTTCCTTACACCAGCATATAAATTATACAAATTTTTGTTTGGTAAAGTTTTAATCAACTATATCTAGTATAACTTAGAAGCTTATTTGAAAGTAAGTCAAAAGGAAAATATTATTTCAAAGAATATTTATACAATATACATATATTTATATATTCGAGAAGTATATTTATATACATGATTAGGATAAAGAGATTGAAGAAACTAGGTTGTTGATAATAGAAAATGGCACCAGAAAAACATAGTGGAGAATGTTGCATTTTGCCACTTCATATTGTCTGTTACGTGATTAAATTAATAGTGTAATAGCCATCCTTTGTGTCACTGAAGCGAAATAGAAAGTGCTTCATTACTTGATTGCTGATGACCAAATGTTTGAATTTATTTTATAATTCTGTTTGATTTAGATGTATGTATCACTCTAATAATTATATTGTTCATCTAGAATTGCAGCTCCACAGGGATTGATCTAATCTAGATATTATAACTGATTATGATCATTCAGCTTTGAGATGAGATCAATGAGAACTAGTTGATAATTCTTCACCAGAAATCGAAATAGGAAAAAAGAAAAAAAAAAGAAGAAGAAACTGTTTTTTGGCTATAGCTCAGGTGTCGCCTGCTTACTTTTCTGGCAAGA